GTTGCCATACAATGAAGGGAAGTTGGCCAAAACACACAAAAGAGAGCTCAGGAGTGAGGTGACGGTACGCGAGCAGTTCAAATGTGCCCATGTGTATTATGGGGCTCTTTGCAGCAACACAGTAAAAATTGCGGCTCGACGCCTCTGACTGGTTTGCCACCCCTGTGCTTGATGGTGCAGTAAGTGGCAGGGGACATTGTAGCGCTTTATTGAAATGATGTTTAATGGACCATCTTTAAGCCTCAAGCTTTAAAAAAAAAAACTTCAGTGATCAATGAACGATCAGGACCTTTAAGTCACGAAGCACTTGGAGTTTTATTTTCCAAATATGAAATGGGGTTCCTCTTAATTGTGAGGCGTTCTGGTCTGCTCTCTTTCGAGCTTCATCGACTTATCTCTCCTTTGGCTCGTGCACTCATGTAGTTTACAGAAATAGACACACAGACTGATCTCTTCATGTGAATTCCTCATTAGAGTCATTCAAAGTTGCTATCAAGACATGAATGGAGCCACAGCTGCACACTCCTGGGATGAAGTGGCAATGAATGAAATGAAATCCGCGCACATATTCCGGCGCTTCTCGCAATCATCATCAGCCATTTAGATTCCTCTTTCCACTTTGTGTTTTTTTTTTCTTTACCTGTTTGTCCTCATGCTCCTCTGCTGCTCATTTCACCTCCCAAATTAGAAACAGCACCTCCTCCGCTTCCTCCTCCCGTCCTGTCTCCAACCTTCCTTTTATCTGTGGGTGAAAATCTCATTCTGTACTTTAGCAGGGAGACTGATTAGCTCCCGCTGCGATTTGGCCACTTTTCAGTTGCAGCACAGACGACGCTCGTGTTAAGATTCATGTGAACAGTGGAAAATTGGATTTCAAGGCAAGCTGATTGTTTTATTTTTTTCAGTTTAAAAAAAAAAAAGAAGTATGTGGGCCGTTCCACCGAGTTGGTGGCACTTGCGTTCCTACGATAAATGTATAAATGTGCATTAAATTAACTGAAAAATATTTTTATTGAATGAGTCTTCTGCAGGGCGGCCCGATGGTCCAGGGGTTAGCCCGTCGACCTCACAGTGCAGAGGTACCGGGTTCAATTCCAGCTCCGGCCTCCCTGTGTTTGAGTTTGCATGTTATCCCCGGGCCTGCGTGGGTTTCCTCCGGGTACTCCGGTTTCCTCCCACATTCCAAAAACATGCATGACAGGCTGATTGAACACTCCAAATTGTCTCTAGGTGTGAGTGTGAGTGTGGATGGTCGTTTGTCTGTGTGTGCCCTGCGATTGGCTTGCAACCGGTTCGGGGTGTCCCCCGCCTACTGCCCGAAGACAGTTGGGATAGGCTCCAGCACCCCCCGCGACCTTTGTGAGGATAAGTGGATCGGAAAATGGATGGATGGAGTCTTCTGCACATAACTGAAACTGCCTTGCACACTAAAGAAATAACATTTGTTGCCCGTCCCCATTTCCCAAAACTCAACTCAACTTTATAATGAAATGTGTCTTTTAAATCTTTTACAAATGTCATATTTATTTTTTCACTGTAAAGCTAAAAACGCACCGTTGTTACTTTCAGTTCTCAGTTGAGGTATATTGCAAAACAATACCGTAAAGAAATGGACCAATACACATTTTGAATCGTTGAATGTGTGTTTATGTCACATTCAGGTTGAAAAAAGACAGACATTTATTTTATGAGTGTTAAAGGAAGCAAATGGCCAATTTCATGGAATAGCCCATATAAGAATAAGAATAAGAAAACCTTTATTAGTCTCGCAATGGAGAAATTCCCAATTCACAGCAGCAAAGTTATGAAAGGAAGAAGTAGAAGAACAAAATATAGGAGCTGCTGTAAAGGCAGCCACTCTCGTGGCGCCATCTTGAAGCCATAATAACATAATATCAAAATAATACAACACAACACATAAGACACAGACAGTCATTCAATCTTAACCACATCATATCCACATTATGCTGATTCTGACTTTTAAATATTCCACGTCACCTGTTTTCTTGGTGGGATCTCAATTTAGGAAAGTGCAATCATAATTTAGAACATATGTAGTCATAGAGATGTGAAATTTTCAACCATTAAACCATTTTCGTGGTGCCCGTCGTCATTGCTGGTCTTCATGAGTGAGCTACGGGCTATCTCACTGGTGTGGGTGGGATACACGACCACTCACATTTGGACAATTTAGAGGTTTCAATGAACCTGACATCCATGTTTTCCAAATGTGGGAGGGCGCAGGACTATCCAGAGACAACTCCACACAACCCCAACGAGGACTTGCAAAAACGTCAACTTAACCAGAAAGGAAATATTTGTGACAAGACTCAAGACTAACAATGATGGGCACTAATCGAGCTGTCTGAAAAAAATATTTCAGGGATAGTCATAAAAGAAGAGAAGTCATAAAATCCATAAAAATTTTCATCATACAAAGGAACCGCTAAGGCAGGGGTCTCAATCATGCGGGCTAGGGGCCATTTATAACCAACAGGATGATGTTTTGCGGCCCGCTTCTTGACATCAAAGTTGAATGTGAATGCGGCCCCCTTAAACTTTTTCAAATTTATTTTCTTTCATTATCTATTGTGGGCTACCATAGCTCATGCTTTTGACTGCTTTCAGTGAACTGTAATTCTGAAGTGACACCAAGTGGAAGGATGTGTTTTTCAAAACCTGCCGTGATGAGAAAGCTGCTTAACCACAGGCTGCCACCGCCTCTGTTGTTGTTATTTTTGATTCACATCCTTTCAAATTCGTCAATTGAAACTTACTTCAGGGACGAGCCTGAGGAAGGAGTTGGGTTTGTTTTCCCTCCACTGATTGGCCTGAGGGATGCCTGCATCACTAGCAGGGGACGCCGTGTTTATTCTGCAAAAACAACACACACACACACACACACACACACACACACACACACACACACACACACACACACACACACACACACACACACACACAGCAGCATAACACACAGCACTTCCTTCTCCCTGGATTTCAGACTCATAGCTGAAAATAGCACTCACTAGCAAACACATGCACACACACACACACACACACACACACACACACACACACACACACACACACACACACAGCTCACTTGAGTGGCTATGTGGGACAGCAGCTTGGGGATAGACAACTGATTCACTTTGAGTGGCACATGGATATTTATAGAGTGTTTGCGCATGCGTGCGTGCGTGTGTGCGTGCACGCGCATGCATGAAAGACCGAGATAGATCAGCAATGTGGATGCTCATACAACTGTTTTGGCGATGGTTCTTGTTGCTGCGTAACCATGGTAGCGATGTGCTGTGAAAACTGTGTTGGGCAACATGTCCCACACACCATGCGCACACATGCGCGCACATACGGAAATCCGGGTCAATCACGTGATTTTCAGCAGAGCTCATATCAGGTCAAAAAGATTGTTTTTTTGAACATTGAAGCGTCATAAAGCTACAAAATAATCCGATTCTGATTGTGGTTTATCTTGCCAAATACAAGAGTAGTATTTCACAGTGTTGCCATTTTATTTATTTATAATTGATATTATGCAGTGAGTGTATTATGCAGTGTGTGTGACTCCCACAGACACGTCTGCTCCACTGCGCGGCTGGGATAGGCTCCAGCACCCCCCGCGACCCTAGTGAGGATCAAGCGGTTCGGAAAATGAATGAATGAATGAATGAATATTATGCAGTGAGTGTATTATGCAGTGTGTGTGACTCCCACAGACACGTCTGCTCCACTGCGCATAGCTCTCCTGCAGACAGAGACAGGGACCGCCCTGTCTCTGTCTTTTTGTCTTCGTAGCTTGTCTGAAAGGAGAATCAAACTGCAAAATCTCAATAAATCTGCCTTGCCTGATATCAAGAAGCCTTCTGACATAACGGCACCGTCAAAGAGTTGAGAGAGCTGAGAGTGCGACAGACAGGTTCGCGATTGTGACCCCCTCCAAACAACAAAAAGTGTAAATTATTTGGTGACAGGCACGCTTGTTTCCCACTGCTTGCATTTAACAAGGTCAAAAATCAATAGTGTTGGTTCTAGATGAGAGAAGCCACACACTTACCCAATAACTACATAGCTGTGTGGACTCCTAACTTTCGCCTGAACAAGCCTTTAAAAAACAATCTAGATTTATTGTTTACCATTAGATAAATCCAATGTATCGAACTATGGGTCTCATCGAGCAATGTATGATATTTTTACTCCGTCTTGTCTCAGTCTCGGACGGTGTGGACTCGAGATTTTTGCTCAAGACCAGTCCGACTGTGATTAGTGCCAAACTCTTGTCTTGGTCTCAGTTGGTTTAGAGAATGGCTCTTGCATGAGAAGATTGTGGGATAACCCGCATCAACCCTGTCTGTTATTTTGGCTCACCAATGCCTCCTGTGGACTGAAATGGCATTACAAGACTGTGGTTCCTTCCGAATGGAGACGGAATTGTTTGCTTAAATCTGAGATATTCCTGGCACATGGATTAATGGAGGCAAGGAAAGTGCTGAAAAGCGGAAAGAAAAGAAAGATACGACTCACCCCGTTCATCATTTTTACGATCCCATTATCATTCATTTCTCTTTCTTTCATCCGTCCATTCATCCTCACCTCCCTGTTTCTCCAGGATTGGTCCATAAACTGTGATGGATCAGCACAAGTGGCAGCTCAGCCATCTTCCCTTTCCTACTCTTATTCCTTCATGTCTATTTCCTCCGAACCAAACCTCCAACTCTTTTGCGCATAAATGTCTGATCTTCCTCCCAAGTATTCCAAGGTCTCGCTCCTATTTCCTGTTTTCCTTTGGCTTGTTCGTCTTTGTGTGTGATGAGTCGTGTGCATGTCTGCCTCACGCTTCTGGGGTTTGAGATTCGAATCTTGTTACCAGGCTACGGCTAGGTCACAGCGGGGTGCTACAAAAAAAAGTGTGACATATTAGTGGCCTTTAAAACTTTTTGCAAAGTAGCAATTACCTTGATTGCTTTCCGCTTCTTCAGGTATATCCACGCACTCTACCTGGGCGCCCAGAGTCGTTGGCATGGCGACGGTTCCCACCACCGCTTCCACTGGCGGCTAATGTTCGAGAGCGCTGACATCACCATGCTTCGTCTCCTGGAGGCATTTCTTAAGTCGGCACCGCAGCTTGTCCTCCAGCTAAGCATCATGATCCATGGAAACGCTGTCCTCCCGCTGCAAGGTGAGATACTCACAGGTAATCCTTGTCGCACGAGATTCATCAGGTCGTGACAATGTGGTGACTCTGGATTCATAAACATTTGTCCACTGCGGGCAATTTATTTTTTGTGCTAAACATGCATAAAGTTTTATTTGGAACATGTTGAAAACTTATATGCTTTATAACAACTGTTGATATTTCAACACGGGCCAATAGTCGTATCTACAATCAATACAGTGAATATACTCTATCGAAGAGTAGAATTGGATACCTGTTCAAATGCCGGGTTTTTGTACCGGTAATATAAAAATCAGAACAAGATAAATCATTTTAAGCTTTTTCCACCATGAATGTGACCTCTGACCGTTATACCTCAATTTGAAAAAAAAATCCTTACAAGAGGCTTGGTAAAAATACATGAAATCAAATATATGAACACCCTCTTAAAGCTGAAATCATCACGCATCCACCACCAATTAATGTTCCTAAATTTCAGATGTTCTACTAGGCTTTTTTTACCCTCCTGAAAGGCTAAAAGTTTTGTGCAAACATTGACTGCTAATCGGAACGCTCCTTAATTCCCTCCACCTTCACTAAGACACTAATGAATGAATCTAAATATATACATCGAAGACAACACTGTTGACGGGTTAGCACGTCCGCCGTTGACTGGTTAGCAGGTCCGCCTCACAGTGCAGAGGTGGAGGGTTCGATTCCGGCTCCGGCATCCCTGTGTGGAGTTTGCATGTTCTTCCCGTGCCTGCGTGGGTTTTCTCTGGGTACTCTGGTTTCCTCCCACATTCCAAAAACATGCATGGCAGGCTGATTGAACACTCTAAAGTGTTGGATGGGCGTTTGTCAATGTGTGCCCTGCGATTGGCGGGCAACCAGTTCAGGGTGAACCCCACCTACTGCCCAAAGACGGCTGGGATAGCCTCCAGCACGCCCGTGACCCTTGTGAGGATAAGCGGACTAGAAAATGGATGGATGGCTATTCATTGAATTTTGGAAAAGAGAGAAAATAAATTTTGAAAAAAAATGTTTGTGAACAAAGATCAGCAAGAATAGGCAGCCTCACTGTATGTAAATAACTACATAAATTCTTGACCAACTAGATTTATCATGAACTTCGGGCGTGGAGTTGCACAAAAAAGTTTAATCCAACGAATGAAACAGAAGCCCAAGCTGTCGTGCTTTCACTATATTTGGTGGACACTTTCTTACGTAAGTTGTTTGTTGTCTCGGTGCAGGTCTGTCGGCCTCGGCCTCTCTGGTGTCGCTGGCCTGGATGATTGCATCCTACCAGAAGGTTCTGCGGGATTCGCGTGATGACAAGCTGCCCATGTCCTACAAGGCCGTCATAGCCCAGATCCTCTGGCACCTGTTTACCATCGGGGCCAGGACCGTGGCCTTTGCCCTCTTTGCCTCCGTCTTTCAGCTCTATTTTGGGATATTCATCGTCAGTCACTGGTGTGCCATATCAACACACACCACAGCAAACCCGTTTTCGATGAGTTTATCCAGGAAATGTGCAATCACATACATTGAATTCAATGACATCTGCTCTCATGTGTCATGTCGGTAGCATTTAAGGTCGAAATACAAGATGAATTGGGAGGGTTTCCTTACTCAGAAATGCCAAGTCTTCCGGTTAGATTTTTGTTAACAGTAGTTGCCATGTGTACCGCTGCTACGGGGAAGTCGGTAAATGCTATCACATGCTTGGCACGTACTGTAAGTACCAAGGCTTGTGATTGTGTGACGCAAGATTATGATTCTCCCAACACATCACGATAGCATTTGATGATGTCATCACATCTTCCAACCCAGGGAAAAAAAAAAATAATCAACTAGCTTCAAGCCTGTCTGAAGCTCCGCGTCTGCGGCTGACTGGCGTGGTTAATCAGCAGCCGCTCCTCTAAAGGTCAGTTATCATCCCCCTCAATAGCATCGAATTCTGAGAAGGATCGCGATCATGAAAGGAGGATGAGTAATTATTAACAGGAGAAACGCTTGCTAAGTCGTGCAAAACACCGGTATAATTGCTTGGTGATGCATTGCAATTTTCACTCTCTCAAGTCTCGCCGCATAGGCATTTTGAGGAGAGTAGCTAACTATGAACAACAAATTGTTTCGAGAGAAAATATAATGCACAGACGTTCACGAATGACACGTAAATACATAAAAGTAAGTAAATAAATAAACCATGCATAATATATCAAAATTCAAGTTGACCTATCTCCAGCCAGTAACATCACACATGTTTCGATTACCTGTATACTTGCTTGTGACGTAAACATCTGATTTTTTAAAAAACGGATAAGCGCGGACAGTCATTCCAAGCGGCGGTGCCTCATCAATTAAATGAGGAACAACATCATTTCTTCTGTCTTCAGTTTCATCATGAAATTGAATGCTGCAACATCTGGCCACATGCACGTAAATGTATCCTCTTAATATATGACCGTTGACAACTTTGCACGAGCGCTGCCACTTACAGATCATTTGACTAAAGGATGCGTTTTGATTTGTCACCACTCAAGTACTGCACACACTGCCATGCTTGCGTGTGTGCTCAATCACGTGAATCGTAACTCAACCTTTATATTTCACATCAGTGGCACAGACAGTCGTGGTGGCTTATCAGTACAGACATTTTCTATTTGTCACCCACATTGTCACGTTTTGCATGATGGTGGAGTAGGAGGACCCCAAAAAGCAGGGAGGCAGGGAGGAGCAGAGTGGCTGACCAAAATGTATTTCACAAAAATACAAACAGGAATACACAGGAGAAACTAACTCAAAAAACTCACTCGAATAAAGTCCAGAAAAACCACAAGAAATCAAAGTAGCAAAAACTTAAGACAGAAAACAAAACATGACAAGTGCACAGAGACACACAATGACACTGACTGTTCGGGCAGGGAGTCCTTTTCACTGCACACGAATGAAACAATGACCAACAGGTGTGCCACTGCAGGAGGAGCCCTACAGTGCCACTTGTTGGTCACAAACAGAACCACCCTAACACACATTGCCATGTGCCGCAATATACGACAGCAGCCACAACACAAATGGTGATGTTTTTGGATTGCTTTGTTTGTTTATTAACCTGGTAAAACAGACAAAGCATTTTCGAAAGTCTCCCCTAAGGTTTAGTGAGACGTAAAACTCACTAAAAATTACGCGCGCCTACAGTTAGAGCGGCATGCTTTAATTACAACGTTGCCGTCTCATGCCTTCTCTGAATCGCTCAGCTCCCCTCCCTTTGACCAGTCCATTCACAGCCGATGTCGCCGATGAGCAAATCACGTTTGAGCAAATCGCCTTTGTATTGAAAATGCCATAATCTATTGTTCCAGTTTTGAATAAATCCAAACAGAAGAAAAAAAGTCAAATTAAAATGATCAAATAAAGAAAATATATTCACGTTCAGTTTATCGGGTGGCACAAATATTCCTGATAAAATGAAAATGTTTCTAACAAAATATCGAGCCTGTTCCTGAGAGGTGATGACAGGGGTTGGCATCTCAGGCTACTACTGTATCTTGATAACAGTCTGTAAGCTGTCTTCGTTGTGCTGTGTTCCTGTACAACAATTTGGTTCAGACGATATGAGCCAGATGCGTTGGCTGGTCTTTGATGCACTTCTGTCTTTCAGGTGTATAATGACATTCTGGATCATCCAAGGTGAGACTGACTTCTGCATGTCCAAGTGGGAGGAGATCATCTACAACATGGTGGTGGGCATCATCTACATCTTCTGCTGGTTCAACGTCAAGGAGGGGCCCAGCCGCATCCGCATGACTGTTTACTACACGGTAACACTGGCTGAGAATGTGGCCCTGACAGCCGCCTGGTACACATACCGCGGGCCTCACACCTCCGACTCCTACGCCCTGGTGGTGGTATGCCTCGTGGCCTGCAGCTTCGCCTTGGGGACTTTCTTCATGTTGGTCTACTACTGCTGGCTGCATCCTGACGGGCCGGTCCTGAGCGCAAATTGGGGAGGATGTGTGGACGAGGGGATAGTGAGTGCAAGTGGCATGGTGGGTGTGATCGATGCCTGTCTCACCCCGTCCCAAGGTTCGCAAACTGACATGGTCATCACCAGTCCTCCCAGGACTCTACCCAGGACTAAAGACACAGGGGACCTGGTTCCCGGGGAACAGGACAGGGACAGGGAAAGGGATCGGGACAGTTGCCTGCCGGTTTTCCAGGTGCGTCCTTCCCCTTCGTCCTCCCCAGCACTCCTCCACAGGACCTCCTCGTCGCAAGAGGGCCCTGTGATCCGGATCGATCTCCCAAGGAAGAGGTATCCGGCCTGGGATGCCCACTTCATTGACCGTCGTCTGCGCAAGACCATCTTACTTCTGGAGACCACGTCAGCATCCAGCCCTAGGATACAATACCGGAGTAGCATGATGGGCAGCAAAGAGGTGCTGGAGTATGAGACCACCGTTTAAGCCAATAGGGCTCTACAACCGAGAAATGCAGTCTGGGATCAAGGCTCAGCCGGAGACCACCAGTTCTCATCCCAGGACTCGCTTTGCCAGGAGACACTTGGACTTAGAACATGGACAGTCTGTTTTTTTTCATGAAAGACGGGTGTCTAAATTTGATTGTAAAACGTGAAGTGCAATCTTTGGCCAAGGCACTCTCCCTGCTTGACCAGGTCCAGGTTGAAGCTCCATCGGTCATCTGATGAGGGAGTAGGAATGGGGATAATCTTCGTCTAATTGAAACGCTTGGAGGTGAGAAATTTAATCTCCCATCGTGGGACAGTATTAGATTTCATCCTTCATGTCAGAATGAGATTAATGAGATAATGCATGAACATGAACCCCAGGCTGCAGAGACGCCGCACCCCTATGTACTTTAAAAAAAAAAAAAAAAGTTTAGAGACTGTTTTGTTAGGGATTTAAAATGGGACATAGGATTCTTGTGGGGCAAAATCACATGCTGACAAAAGCATTTCATCCGTAACTTAAATATTATCCTTAATCAAAATTAGACGGAAAACAGGTCAGACCTGGGCTTTAGTGTAAAAATGTGAAAGGTGTAGTTATTATTAAAAAAAAAAAAAAAGTCAATTGAACATTGGCACTTCATCAGCCGATTGAGTCTACTTATAATAACTTAATGTTGAGAGTACAATTCATCTTGACAGTTGTCTCACCAAGAGAAGTCATATTCACAACTTCCATCCAGTTGATTGCGTGTCCCTCTTCAGACCTTTGAAAGTATCACACATAGGTCTATCTGGGTCCAGACGATGGGATTAAGTGTTTACATCACATGGACCAAGGACCGGTGTGACGAGAGAGCCGCCTCACACTGTTGTACAGTCAAGTAAATACAAATGTCAGATATAAGCTAGTAGAACACGTAGTTACTGTAGGTGACCAGTGACTCGACAGAGTCTAAATGTTCATTCAAGTCGACTTCTAGCAAGGGATTCATCGTGGGAATCACGGTTCCCGTCTTTGTGCTCAGACGCCATTTTTCACTTTTTATTCGGAAAGTACGTTTGAATTGTCTGTGAGGGGTGGGATGAACTCCAGCTCACCTGTGACCCTAATAAGGACGAGCGTGATCGAAAACAAACGGAGGGGTGATGTCGTTGTGATTTCGAATGGCAACATTATGTTTACAATAGTAGCACCCCCCCAAAAGAAAATTTTGCAGTGTCGTTTACAAAATGAAAGCACATACCAGCCTTTTTATTTGATGGATAAAAGTAACAGAAAGATACTCAACTCAACTCAACTGTATTTATAGAGCACTTTCAAACGGCAGGACTCATTTGAAACAACAGTAAACGGTGGCGTTAGCATAAGCACTTGTGTCAAAGACACAGTGACTTGGAAAAATATTCTTACCCTGAGAACTTTTTCACATTTTTCCACCTTAAAACAAGAAATGTTGCTGTTGTTTGGTGCGATTTTATGTGATCGGCCAACACAAAGTAGCACATGGCCTTGAATTGAAACACATTTTGGACAGATAATAAAATCTGGAAAAATGTGGTGTGCACTTGTCTTCAGCCCCCCGCCCCTTTTGTCAAGACTTTTGTCGAGCCACCTTTCTCTGCAACTCTTAAGATTACGTCTCTAGCAGCTTTGCACATCTCTGACATATTTGCCCATTCTTCTTTGCAAAAAAAAGAAAGAAAGAAAGAAAATCTCATGCTGAGTCGAACTGGATGTGAGGAGCAAAACACAAGTTTTGCCACAGACGCTCAGTGGGATTTGGAGATAGCACACTTTTCTGATATCTATTTGCTTAAAATCTGGAAAACCAGATATCCTTCTTGTGCCACTTGACACATATGTGCTACTTTGTGTTGTCCGTTCACATAAAATCTCAACAAAGCGCACTCAAGGTTGTGATTGGAAAGTCACCAAATGCGAAGATTTTCAAGGGATATGAAGACTTTTTCAAGGCACTGTAAATTCAGGCACCTCTTGTAAGGTAGAGATTCACCTCCAGTGCTTTATTTCTTTTTTCCCCCTCACAACTTACAAGATGACATGAAAGACATTCACCGAGAACTTCATATTTTCCGAAAGAGAAAATTCTTTTGTGATTTATATATAATAAGAGAAAAGTACAAACATACAGTCCCGTAAAAGTTTTAGTCCACCATTAGTTGTGTTAGCTTTTTTTTTTTATTTCTTATTATTTTTGGAGTGTAGCACTTCCATTCATTCTGAACTGTTAACAAAAGCAATGTTGGGGAGCGGGGGTAGCGTGTTGTCACATCATGTTACTTTTCGGATGTCTATCTCTTAGCTAGTTAACAGACGACTTCTTGTTTCATGGAGGATGATGAACAGACGGACTGTGCCATGGTGATTCTGATGATGCAACACTTCCATTCATACCATGGAGAGTCAGAAGATAAAAATAACAGTGTCAACAACATTACAACAGCAAAGCGAATGATGGACTAACAGGTTTGTGCAGTACTGTATGTCGGTTGTACATAAGATACGTTTTCATGACATATAACTTTGAGTTTTCGGTGGATTATTTTGATTGATTCTGACTTAAGCAAAAATGTTCTCCGAGAAGGGACTATTTCCAAAAGAGTCATTTCATCTTGATCAGGATGATTCCATTTTTACACAATTTAGCACTTGAAACATTACTTTGGAAAGATAGAAACTCAGTTATAATGTTGCAATACAAATAATGTCACAGTTTTTTTTTCCTGTATTTTTAGTCAAAAGTCTTCAAAAAGAATTTTGTGGTTCACATTTAAAATAAATCACGAAAAACTAAAATGTAAGGAAACACACTGGACAGTGAATAGAAGACTTTACCGAAATGTAACGGCGATTTGCTTCCCCCTGTTGATAGGGAAGATAACGTGCTGGTTTGTGAAGATGTCATAAAACAACTCACCCCGAGAAAACAGTTTCCAGCATCATGGATAACATAGATTGGATTAGTCTACTGTTTTAGGAGTGTTAAAGTTATAAACATATCAAGCTGTCCCCTTCCTTTCGGACCCTTGTGCTCACTATGTGCTCATCATGCATCCATGTTAAAATGGGATGTGCCAAAAGGACTAAGACACCTGGGTTTTGTTTTTTTCCAATGTAATGTCTTTCTAATACAGTGCATTCAGGAAGTATACAGACCCTCCTCCATTGTTACATTTGCTATGTAGCCACCTCATCGTAAAACAATTGTAATTATATTTTTCCTGACTCAAGATAAACTGGCAGCATGGTGGATGACTGGTTAGAACGTCCGCCTCACAGTGCAGAGGTCATGGGTTTGATTCCAGGCTCCGGCCTTTCTGTGTGGAGTTTGCATGTTCTCCTCTCGCCTGTGGGTGTTTTCTCTGGGCGGTGATCCTCTGGGACCACAATGTGCTCAGATGAAGATGGAATGTTACATTTTTGTTTGGAATTTAAAAAAAAAAAAAAAAACACGGGTAAGCACTTCCTCAGATTTTATTTCGAGATGAACCGTCCCTCTCAAATGTTTTCTTTTCTGCCGCTGGTTGAACCGCAGCACTCCTCATGCGTCTGCTTGCTTCTGCGAATGTACATAATGACAGCACAAGGTCACATGTCAAGATGATCAGATCGTCTCCGAGAAGAGATGAGTGCAAAGATCAAATCGCTGTTGTCGTCATGGTCGGAGACAACTCATGGATGTTGACGGCGACGTTAATGGTGCTGCAAATGTCAACTGAGCGTCGCCCCACCCCACCCGTCCATTCCCCTCCCCGTCCCTCTATCATGTCAAACATGATAAGCTAATGTACAGATGTTGTCGGTTGTTGAGGGCGGGGCTTCGCTCTCGAATGAACCAATCCTTTTGTTTTTGCTGTGGTGATTATTTATTATTAACTTGAGATGAAAAAAAACAAAGATATCAATCATATTCTGTTAATTGATGCAAGTATTTATGTTTATTTTTGTATTTGTTTTATATCTATTTCCTATTGTTTAAATCACTCAGTGGCCATATCTTTGGTATGACTCTTACATTAAGATGTAAAAAGTAGATTTTTTTACTCATTTCGTCTATATGCCCATAAACAGAGTACGATGTGTATGTGGGTGTGGGTGTATGTATGTGTGTGTGTGTGCGTGTGTGTGTGTTTGGAGGCAGGTTGATCATGCCGCATCATTATCTTCAGAGTGAAACTTTCTTGACGGTGTTATACATTTGAAAAAGAAAAAAAGAACTCCACAAGCTGTGCTAATAAATGTAGATGGGGAACAATTACTGTAGTAAATATGGCTGAACAGCAGGCAGAGTCTCTCCGTGTCTTCTTTCAATTGTGTTAAGTGTGTCTTTTTTTGTCTGTGGATGGATTGATAGATAGACAGACAGTCAGATTGATATGTATATATGTATTTTTTTTCAGGAATTTAAGGTTATCCAAACTGAACAAAATTCCACGCACCAAAAATGAAATTGTCTTTCATTGGAGAGATATTTCTTGGAAGGAAATGCCACATTTAGAGCACTGGCAAGTCCTTTCATATGTATGTGAAATGACAACAAGAAACCAATGCATCATACCCTCTCGAATTGAGCCGTACCATATGGAATTGAATCGTAATCCCCCTAAATCGAACTGAAACAAATCGTTCCACTTCAATATGGAACCTTCCTTGAATTGTATTGCACCCCATGTCTCAAAATACAGCTAATCGAATCGGCTTTTTTTGGAGCGAAGCACACTGCTAGTAGAAACACTTTTTTTTTTTCGATCTCCATCCACTTTCTTTAATATGACATCACCAGAACATGACGGGGGGGAAAAAAGGGCTAGTCTGTGCTTATTGCTATCTCCATTGACGACTTACTAGAAGATAAGTTAACTGTTAGCACATCTGATAACTGGAATGCAAAGTCTTCTTGTCATTTTTATTCTGAGGAACGACTATGGAGACACAAAATTTCAACACAAACCAGTGGCTCCTCTTTTTTTCATCCAGCAACAGGCAAACTTCAAAGTGTTTCTTAATTGGCTTTTATCTACGTCAGAGTCTGTGACTCAGCCAACTCGGATGGATTTGCAGTCATAATTATTGAACAGGTTTAACATTTTCCTGACCTGGAAGAAATTGCTGAGGAAAAGAAAGTTTGGGCTGCTGCATAACTGGCCCAGATGAGCAGGAATGGATGGATTTTTCATTGTCTCTTACATCTTGACAAAAAAAAAGAAAAAAAAAACTAAATCCATCTGCAAAAAGATTCACACTCTATGGCAGGGGTGTCAAACTCATTTCACATGGTGGGCCACATACGGCCTCGGTGGATGTCAAGTGGGCCGGACCATTAAAATGACACCATACTTTGCTATAAATAACCAAAACAATATGTCTGTCCTTTGTTTTGGTATAAAGAAGCACAAGAACATTCGGAAAATGTTGAAATTTAATGAACATATCTTTTACAAAACATTTCATGAAGCACCTTACATTTCCTTCGACAAATGTGCAATTTACTTTCATCATTCACATATATGCATTGCAACTGATCCCACTGATTGTACAAACTTTAACAAGTAATTGGTATTGAAAAATATAGTAATGCACTTTAAGATTAAACGAGATTTATAAAGAAAGGAAGTTTTAAACCATTTACACGTGCATATGAAATCTAAATGTAATCCCTGCCTACACCTTACAAACTAAGGAGAGTGCTATTAAATGTGTAAATGTGAGAGTGCTATTGATAGTCTGTTGTCATGGGTCTGTCTCAGTGACGGACTGAGGCTGCTGTTGTCTTCTTCTCTGATCAAAACAGTGTCCCCTTGCGGATACTCAATGAATTGCATCTGATTAAAAATATTAATTCTGTGTCTTTAATGCATTTTTTTCACTTTTAAATTATCCTGCGGGCCGTATATTTGACACCCCTGCTCTATGGTTTAAAGAAATTGTTTTATATCTATATGTACAGTAAATATATATGTATAAATATACAGTATATACTGTATATGTATAGAGTATATGCACCTGCATGAAAATCAAGATGTGCCAGTTTTCACGCAAGGCGGATGTGCGCCGTCGACCAAAACAAAGCCCCGGATGTTTATGCAGTGGGGCTCTCTAGCGAGCACTCGTCTCAGTCTGTGTCCTCAGTTCTGTATGTCTAATTTTGTTTCATTGTCCCTATTCAGCATTTTCACATCTTTTAAGTTTTCCATTCTCGCCTTTTTTTTGTTTCAAGGCTGCTTTCTTTTGTTTGCTTTGTTTCTCATTGCCTCTCCGTTCACCCTTCCCTCTGCAGTCATCGTGTTTTTCCATGGATTTTTAATCTTTAACGGGCATCCAGATTTCCGGATTTCCCCCAACATATTTACTTTTTGACATCTACAAATAGCATCCAACTAGGATTGTATAAATAATCAGGTATTTCATGATCTCTATCAGTACTGTATGTCTTTGTTAACTGAAGTCAAAGTAACAAACACACTCAAGGTTCCAGTACTCCAGTGGTTTGGGGTAGTGTAACCAGCGTTGCAATTGGAGTTTGGTGGGAGTGACTTTGTGATACCGAAGCACCTGTAGAAATTGAATGCAAGTGAGGGAAGACCCCACGAAGTTTCCACAGTCATGAGAGCTGTGAAAAGAAATTCAAGAGTGGCTCTACACCAAGCAACTCAGTCACAACATGCAACAATAAAGATCAGGAATGTCCTGGAGGAAGGACCCTCCAAAGCCAAGCAGGAAGAGGGACCCAGGGGGCCCTTCTACTCCCAAACTGGCCACCTGGAAGAGAACGCAGTGAACCACTGCCTCCCCCTGGCCAACCAGCACCCTCACCCACCGCCCTGCTCGCTCCAACACAGTCATCCCCAATCCATCTCCGGCACGCAAAAGGCCAACACCCACCAGCAGAGCATACAGGGATAGACCACCCCACCCCAACTGGAGTATGGGCCGGTGACTGGTGCCAGGTGGGGAGGAGGAGGATTACAACGGGATGACCATGGAGGGGAAAGTGTGGCCCATGTGCAGTCTAGTGCATCCAGTGTGAAATTAACTTTTTTTAGCTACCCCTTTGAATTTCCGCATCAATTTTTGCCCAAATTGTAATGTCACAGTTTAGCTAATTTGCATAATGACCTATATACTTTTATCTGCCAAAGACTGAAGGAGTAGCTCACTGGGCCTGCCACAGAAAGTGTTGAGGCAGTTCTGTACGGCTGTCAATGAATCAGTCTTGTGTTCATCCATCGCAGTCTGGTTTGGTGCCGCAACAAAGAAGGATAAAATCCGACTGCAACGGACAGTCGACTGCAGAGACCGTACGATAAATAGCTCCCTACCCACACCCTTTAGGACTTGCATGCTGCAAGAACTAAGACAATGATTAACAAAGACAAAATTCTTTTGGACCCTCCACATCCTGGTCACTACCTTTTCCAGCTCCTTCCCTCAGGTAGGCACAATTTAACTGTACACACTAAAACCAACAGGTATAGCTGTAGCTTCTACTCTCTTGTTCATAACTTCTTAAAAAGTTGAATTATAACTGTAATTGTAGCTTCAGCTCTCTGCGTTATTGGCATAATGGATGTATACCAGTATTACCACACTTCTGGGCTCTTTAAAGTGCTCAGGGACTCTTTGCATCCATTGTCCAAACCACTTCTCCATCATAAAAACAATAAAACAATCTTCCTTAATTTTGAATTGACGATGTGGTGAGATTACTTAGTACTTTAAATGTTAGTCTGCTTACTTCACTTCTTGCCTTCTCACAATCTTCTCTGAACATCCCGATTTTATTTGAGGCTGCTCCTTCTTTAAAATAAAAAAGCCAAGGAAAGAGCAAAATCTGATCCATTAAACCTATGATTCTCACTGAAATTAGCTCTAAAGGTGTGCACTGATAGATCATATGATGAATCCAACATTTTTGGCGCCATTAGTGGCGTATTTTACTCGTCAATTCAAAATTGTATGACCTCTGGGGTGTCCAACTGTAAGAATAATATTGTTTTTCCTCATCTTACGGACAACACCCCATGACATGAAAAGAGTTTTGCACATGTATTAGAAATCAAAATAAAAAGTAATTGATGCACCTTTGGCAGCAAGTACAAGGTCAGCGTTTCGAATGTCTCCGTTAAGCGCACTGTGATGGTGAAAAATAGATCAAGGATTGGAAATCGGCGGCCCGCGATCACACACTTGGAGTGTCACTCCATTGAATTTTGGGGGAGAAAATGTGAAAAAGGCAGGAAAGACGTAATACCAGTGTTAACCACAGGATGGCAGACAATGCTCAATGTGCATTCGCGTAGAAGCTCGTCATGGCCGCTACAAGACGGTCTCAAAATTACACAAACAACAGTGATATTTTTTTCACAGCGTTGGCAGTTGCTTTGAAGTGCATGTTGACATTTGTATCCTCCAAAAAACATGGATGTATTCAACGCTTAATAGTGTTAAAAATTAGACAAGTGGCTGGTGTGATTGACTCGCATTATTTACAGAGGGGATGCATCTGACGCCAACTTCATCGCCCCATCGTTTTGCTGACATTGACGTTGCGCATCCCGAAATGCAGCGCACCAAAAGTAAACGACATTTTAACAGGAGAGAACACGCCAAATCAGACTTTCCCCATACGCTTAAGAACAGTCATAGTACCGGTACATTTTCGTCTTGTCAATGTCGAATTTGAGTGGGAGGTGCGCATGCGTGAAAACCGAGTACGCGCTCCATCGCGCAGATGCTCGGAAGTAGTTGCACAGCTGTTGACTTGCTTCCGCTGCCCTAGCAACAAACGCGAGGTAGTTTGGAAACTTACACCGGACCTGAGAGATGACTATGTATTTGTATTTTTGAACCGTATTTGTGTGTGTGTGTTTTTTTTAATTAGTTTTTTGTTTTTTGTCCTCCAATTTAATACCTATTAATTGCAAGTCACTTTACAGTGGTCTTATGTTTCGGCAGAGGGGAAAATAAGACAAAAAAGTAAAGTAAGACTAGTTGTTGTACAGTCTGTACAAATATTTTTTGTGAACTCATTTTATTACATGCACCTGTAACGGCAGTGTAAGCATCAGTACAACTGACAATATTCATTTTCAAAGGCACACATAGCAAGTTACATAAAAATAGACCTCTTCACCATAACAGCGGCACTAGTTACTGCAACTACATCACAAAATAAATAGTACAGTACTACAGTTCATGACACTGTACTAACACTTCGCAAGGCTTGTCAAAAAACACTTGTAATTTTAACATCACCGGGGCAACACAGATTAGCCGCCCATTCTCATGCAAGGCAAGTGATGCAATCAGCTACAGACAAGGTGAATGGATACCTGAGTAAAGCAGCACGATGACGCAGAGGGAACAAAACTACTGGTGAAAGATGCCCGTAAGTACCCCAAAGGAATCAAGAAATGTCGGGAGGGGGCGGGTAGGGGAGTGAATAAGGGACATTGAATGCGCAATCATATTTGCAATAGAGGCACTTGTGGTAATACTGTGTGTTAAGAAATAAATGCTGCAGATATTTTCAACTCCGAGTCAGTTTCTCCGCAACATCCTCATTTTTGGGCCACAAGCAAAGTAAAATTTTAAATAAACTGTCATCTAATAAATTCAACACTTGCGCCAACTTTTAGTTGTAGAACACATTTTAAATTCATTAACCAATTAATTTCTTTTTCCATTTTCACATCATTGTCAGAAATATTCAGACAACTGAAAAAATACTCTAAGGTCATTTACACAGAGAAAGAGTATTTTTCTGATTGCATGGATATTTTGTTGCAAACAATATAGATACTGTATTATAATAAATAATTCACTTGTAAACATTAAGAACATTATGCTTTAGGTCATGTGTGATTAATAAAATCTGTCTGTTTGTTCAATATATATTTAGCTAGTTAGTTCATTCGTGGCATTATTGTGGGGGCGGGGGGGGGGGGGAAGACATATTAAGGTTCATTTTAGTTTTCCTGGGTGGAGTAGGTCCCAGATTTCTATGTCGTGCTATTCTACGACTTGTACAATATAGATTAACAGTTCAATTTTTTTTATTATTAACAAAAACAGTCCTATGGAGTTTTTCACACTGTTGAGGCCTTTTGTTTTTCTTATGAGTAAAAATGGCTACTAACATTGAAGTTTGTTCTTTGCCTTGGCTTGTTTTGCTACATGAATAATTGTAAACATTTACAGTCAATCATATTTCTTGGTTAGGTTACAAACATAACACTGTTTGCTCAACAAAGAACATGCTCCTTCAATATGTTTACATGGTGTTCATGAACTTTTGGAACTGGACTTTTAAGCTACACGGAAGCATGATTGAAATTGTACAAAAAAAGAAGCTAAAGCACTTGTAAAATTACACTGATTTTAATCAGAGAGGGCTTCATGCGACCCTAAATGTTTTTTTGTTTGTTTTATTCTGGTTTCAAAAATGTCTTTCCTTTTTTTCTAGCACATCAGGTTGTTGACATTTAATTTTTTGGTTTTTAAGTTTGACCTATTAAAGCATGTGCAATATGGATTTTAACATGCATTGTAATTTATAGCTATGATGTTTCAGGAAGAAAATGTACCTGTTGCTGAACCTTACCCTTAATTCATAATTCTTATCACATATATTCCATATTATATGATTGTTATTCTATTTTTATTATTTTGATGAAAGCCTGATGTGGTAGTGAAAAAACAAGGGCATATTTGGAGTTGGTGCAAAAAAAAAATCCATCTCAAAAATGTAGTTCTCTCATAAAAAAAATAAATAAATAAATAAAGAGTAGACGTTGATCATTCTTATTTAAATGTCAAAAAATAGATTGTTTTGAAAATTCTAAAACACAGGACAGCAACACTTTTTTTTTCATCTGAAGACGGATTATTTGGTAGTGCAGCGCTTTAGATCCTTCAGATGTGGGATGAGAACATGCACATCTGCAAGTGTTCATGCTCACGTAGATTACAGGCAAGACAACAATAGTCAACCACAGCGCTGTTGTTGTGTTTACATGTCCATCCAAGCGCACGTTTACTACATCACTAACATGTATAGGTGACTTGCGTTACTTCCAAACAACAAAAGAGAACAAGTGATTGGTGGTCATGCATGTTGTTTCTTCTGAAAGGGATGTTCCCACCTACTGGTATGGCATGCATATTACAGTTTGTGTTTGTCTTTTTTTTTTTTTTTTTGCACGTCTGCGCAAATTGATATTTAAAAATTTTTTTTTGTCTTTTTTGTCTTTTTTTTTTTTTTTCCAGCTGACTCCACGCAAAAGACCGACTGCACCCTTTACTGGACACCAGTCAGTCATAGGGCACATATATAGAGACGAAAAAAAATCCAGATTCACATGCACACCATCTTTGCGTGGGAACTGAAATCACACTGCCTGCACTGCATTCAGGCAATTGTACCACCACACCAGCAGTGAAATGTAGTTCAAACTTTTAAATATAAATGTGGTGCATGTTTGCAGCAGATGTGTACAACAAAATAATTATTTGTAGGAGTCAAGAGATTCTTGGGTCGTCTGTGGCATAGTAGGTCAACAAGAGGTTAACGTCTCGAGTAGGATATGATAAGGAGGCTAAGCGCTACCGATGGTAGCCTACAGTCGTTTTGTTCTGCACATTCTGCATGTGTACTTTTTCATCTGCAAGCACTTTAAATAAATGTCTCAGTGGAGCAAGACTGTGCATGTAAACGTTCTGACTCTGATATGTTTGTAGGATGCACACACACACACACACACACACACACACACACACACACACACACACACACACACACACACACACACACACACACAGAAAAAAGTGCATGCACATTGCTCACAACACTGACGGACCTCAGAGAGACAAGCGTAGGCAGGTGCAGTAGCATCACACACTGTTGGGGTTATAACAAAGCATGTTCAGCTGCAGGTTGTCATCCCAGTGTCTGAGGATGATGAAGAGCTGGTTGGCCGCCGCCTTGACCGATGCCACATCTCGGCCCTCCGGGATGTCCTGGCCGCTGAGCCACATGCTAGCCTTCGCGGCCACCAGCTCCCACTCGATGAAGTAGCTAGCGGAGCTGTGCTCCAGCCAAGCCAGGGCTACCGCCGTTGCCCACACCAGGCTCTCCGGGTCCAGCATCCTCCTTTGCGCACCGCTAGGAGAGCTTGTCACCGGAGCGCCCGGTTCGTTGTCCGCCTGGTATCTGGCGGACGGGAGAGGATCTTTCGTACCTGTTTGTTGGTCGCATGATCCTGAATCGTCTTCGGCGCTCTCTGCGCGCCGGCTGCTCGAGTGGGACAGGTGTCCAAGGCTGGTGCGGTGGCTGGTAAAGGGGGACGTCCACTTGAGCTTGTCCATGGGCACGTTGATGGTGTCGCACAGGGCGAGGTCGAGCGGGAAAGCGCCACACGCCAGCTGCAGCAACACCTGTGGAATATCAAATACAATGTTGTATTATTACAATTATTATTATTAGTAGTAGTAGCAGTAATATTTCAGCCATGCACACGTTTCATTTGCTATGTGTGGCAATGATGTGACGTCACTTTATGAATTAAGGAGATCGAGGAGCGTCCCTGCACGCAGGACCAGATTTACTTCCGTAATCACTGCGCCAAGTGACGTCATTTCTTTCTCAACGTCGTGCTTCCTGCACACGTGGATCACATCACGGACACGTTGCATTCACATTCAAAGTCGCATTTGTTTTTGTAATGTGAACGAGAACATCAAAAGATCTGATTTAGCAGCAATACTCCGAATTGGGCATCACACCCTGCAGTTTGAACGGAGCCATAATCGCTCTCTGGTCGCATAATTCAGATCCCCACCAGAGGAATGTAGTCCTTGTTCTCGTTGTCACTCTCTCCCATGGAATCACCGGACTTGCTATGGGATCGGCTCATGAATCCTTTGGCGGCCTTTGTCAGGAGACGAGTCCTGCTGAGCGCCAACCTGGCCAAGAAGACACAGGCCTCAAGTCAACTCAGTGTTATTTAGATTGGTGCCAATTTACACCAGATGTGATCTCAAGGCACTTCACATTGGGCAGCGGGTCTAGAACCACACGCCGTAAAAGCTAACTGAATTCCACATGAGTAAGCACGATGATGAAACAGGCAAGGAAAAACTGTCACTAAGGAAGAACCTTTGAACCCAACGAAGGCTCAGTGGGAGGACAGGCAAGGTGGACAGAGGAGAGAAAGAGAGAGAGAGCTTCATGCCAGCTCCAGCCACCAACCTGGCAGAAAAAAGACTTTCCAAAGACTTCTGAGACTGGTCCGATGTCACTGATGGACTCCTTTGAGTCCCTAGGAGAGGAAGATGGGAGAGGGGGAAAAAAATGAATCGCACTGTGGACACGCACATGGCTTGATTTTGCCTGCAGTATTTGCACGTTTGCTCCCGCTGAGACTTGGGAAACATATTCATCCATTGTTTTTGTAGAAGCTCTGAGAAAGCCTTTAATATTCTCCCAGGGTGCGTGTCACAGAGATCGGGGATCTTTGGGATAGATGTATCCAAATGTGTCTAAACCAGGGTTGTCATGTTGTCATTGTCTGGGATTTTTTGATTTGAGTTTTTATTTTGTTTGAACGTTTTGGGTTTTTTTTTTTAATTCAAGTAGTTTTAATTTTTTTAAAGCAGGTTTGTGAGTGTTTATTTGCTTTTATTTTTTTTATTCTAAAAATGCTTCATTTTAGTTTAGTTTTTGAACGGCTTATCTTCACTGGGGTCGCGGACGTGCTGGAGCCGATCCCAGCTGTTATTAGATGAGAGGCGGGGTACACTCCGAACTGGTTACCAGCCAATCACAAGATCTTGGCAATTTATGAGGTATTTTGTAACGGCCTGGGGTATAAAGGAACAATCGTGACACACATTTTCGATCTGAATGAAGTGGCTTTTGCGTTTGTACCTTCTGTGAAGTTATATTTCTCCCAGCTGGATGAGGACGGAGTGCTGCAGGGAGAAATGCCGTCTTCTAAGCCTGGAACAAGAAAACCCGCAAAATTGGACATGAATTTATTTGTGTTGTGTTTTTGATTCGGACATTATCATCACCGCAGAGTATACACCAGTTGTTTTTAATGATATGTAACATAAAAGCCAAACAATTCTGGATTGCAATAATAAGGTGATCTTGACATTTCATCTATCAGAAAAAAAATAATGGGATACCATTTTTGGTCCTCTTACGAATGCACAAAATGTGCCTCCTTCGTTTGATCACAACAGTCATCTACTAACATGCAATTAAAGAAGCCTTGTGGCTCCTAGAGAGAAAGTAGCATACTGTTAGACATGTCTTCAGTTTCTTCCGACACACCACCAGACTGAGAGCGGCCCAGGCCAATGGAGTAAGCTTGGCTCTTTCTGCTTCCTGAACTGGAGCGTGAGCTTCTTTTTAAACCGTCACCTGAATACGAGAAAGATAGTAATGGCAGCATGTCAATTGCTGTGTCACCCTGAAAGAGACATAAATTTAAATAATAAAAATGAAAATACATTATTACAACAAAAATATATGTCTATCTGTTTTTTAGATGAGCAGGGAAAATAGTACATCAGCAATTGATGAGTAAAATGTATTTGTTTGTCTCTGGCGTCTCAAACGATGATGTAACTTCCAGTTTTGGCGCACGGAACAATGCCAATTGACTCGTTAAAAGTGAAACGAGCAGTCCGTCCTTGTGCAAGGTCTTCCGCAGCGTATATCTATATTTGTCTTCCTGTTCAGCTTGGTGAACTCACTTTAACGTATTTTGAGAGGAGAACTTGGAGCCTGGGCTGCGTAGAGAAAAACTGCTGTGCCCCAGCTGGAGTAACTTTGTATTTAGTTCTACCTTAAATAACAAATGAAATGCCTTTCTTAAATTGAATGTCACGTAAAAATGTAGTGAAAACTCAACTTTATTAATATAGCACTAACCGCAGCTGTAACAAAGAGCTATATATTCATGATGAAAGACAATAATCAAAACAATAATAACTAAAAATATTATTTTCTAATCCGAATATAAAGTAACTCCCCACATAAAGCATAGAGGAGGTGCAGATTTCTGGTCACATGATTAAGACTTAGCTAGACCAAGGAAATTGTCTTGCACGAAACATACAATATGATGCCCCCCCCCACCCCCCTGCAAATTTAAAATATCACATCTATTGTCTCATGCAATTGAACCAACCCTGATCCTTCCCAATATACTACTGGATTAATGGCGAGCCTGGCTTTCGTTGCAATGACGACGAGTCAGATGGATCTTGCCGGGTGAGTGTCTTCATGCGCTTGATTTGGCCATTTAAGCAGCAAATGTTCGCTGCATACGACTACTTGCTTCTCCTTGTGGAAGCGCGGCCCAGAGCGTGAGCAACCACAACCCTAACCCAGAAGCCAATCACTTCATTGGGCGTATGTGGCGAATGGGCACATCTCCAAACTCAACAACTTAGCCAGATGATTGAGTGTGTGCTGCTTATCAGAAACTAACGCTGGCAACAGTTAGCTCATGTTAATCTGTGCTGAAACTGCAGCTCCACTTTCCTTTTGACTTTGACATGATAGTGCTTCAGCCGCTACTTGAAACTGGCTCTTTTCTTGTGGAACTTTGCCCAGCCTAGCCTCGGGTCATCACTGTCAGGGTGGTTATTATATTCATTAGCCCCAATGTTACATAACGCATGAAGAGAGCAGGATAAAACACTTGTCATAGCGTGGGTGAATACCAGACAATGAAAAATATAACTCACCGAGTTTGATATAGTCAATGCATGTCTGCAGATATTCATTTGTGTCCAGATCGACGGGAACAAACACAGTGTATTTGCTCAGTATGTTGCACGCTTTGCTGGTGTGAATGGCGTAAACGTGGTACTTCCTGCCAGAGCCTGTGAAGCCACATAAGAATATGCTGCATTATATCACGTTTCATTTCTACCAGTCTGTGTGGTATTCAGTGCCATCTACTTTGCTGTTATCGTTTACACGGTTCACTCCTCACTTATGTAACAATTACCCATTGCGTGAGAGGAAAAATACTCCTGGACACTGAGCAATAATGTTTATCCAATTTTTAGCAAGATCTTTCAGCCTACATAATGTAAATGTCAGAATTTGACGTGTCTTCATGTGAGTCATTCATGGAACTTGGCCTCACCGTGCTCAATGTCGCATTCCCTCTCTGCCATGTGCTCAAAGTCGTGTATGATGGAGCGTGCGGCCAGATGGTGGAAGGTCTCGTTCCACAGCTCCTCGTGAACCTTCTCCTCGCGTTCCCGCCCCTTCAGGAAGGGCTCGACGTCAAAGAGCACCTCCCACTGGACAGGCTTTCCGCAGAGCAGACCTGACACCACGGCTTTGCACTCCCCTCTCTGCTGGCCCGCCGAGCCCATGTCTGCGATGCGGTTCTCCTGTGGCGTTTCAGCCTGACACAGCTGGTGGCTGTATCCTTCTGCAATGAGGCAGATTGATTCCTAAAGCGGTACATGGAGATAATTTGGCCTGTTTTGAACCTGATGCCCCAAATCCGACTACATTCAGCCAAGGTCCTATTATGTGACAACTCTAAAGGTTATTCTGGAGTGGGAGGTGTGTTGCTAGGGATTTACCCAAAATGAGTTAATTTAAACCTACTTTTTTTTTTAAACAAATTGTATTATCTCATTAAAAGACAAGTTAACTGATTTATTTTAGGTATCAAGGGGCAAAGGGGCATGTGCCAAGGTACCTATTGCACATCCCCCCACACCCCTTCCGTGCACGCTTCTGCAGAACAGTCCAGTTACAATTGATTCAAATTGAAGGGGCGTTCAAATCAGAGGTTGCAATAAATGTCTCTGGACTTTGGTCGAGAGTTATCACCTGCATCTCCCGCACTTCCTGAAGATGGGCTATCTGTCGACGATCTAGAACCATCCTCTCCAGCAGTGTTCCGGACCGGGGCCAATGTCGGCATTTCTGAGCCCGCCTCACCTGACGGGTGATGCTGGAGCGGAAGGGGAACGCCTACTGGATGTTCTCTCGAAGATGCGGCACAAAGACTGATCAGCTGAAGCTGAAAATAAAACAAATGTGTTCATGAAAATGAATGATCCCAAATGAATGAACAACATATTTCAAGTTTCCACACACCACTTGAATGTACTTGTCATACAATGAAAAGTCCTCCAAAAATTTCAGGGGTTTAAGTGCCGGCTTACTCAATATTCTCCTTACAGTCTATGTGTGTTTTACCTGGTAGTCTCTCTTCCACTGGGCCTCATGCTCCGGACTCATGTATCCAATCAGCTCCTGGACTTTGGCTCGCCTAAGAGGATTCTTTGGCATGACGGAACTGGGATCACTGGATGTGTACTTCTTAGCTGGAACGTGCTCAGTTATCTGGTTGGTGCTGTACGCTCGCCTTCGTGCTGACGTCTGACCCTCCAACGCTGACAATGGACCAGGCAGGACAAGGAAGACGGTCGAGTGAAAACACATCATGAATTGGCCTGTAATACCGGAATCTTGGCTCCCTTAGAAAATGAGTTTAGACTATGGACAGAAAGTGAGCTTACTGAGGTTCTTACCACCGTTATTTTCCACAGCGGCATTCATCATGGATTCCTGGTTCGAGTCATCATGGAGAACCTCGCTCGGTGTTTCTCTGTAAGATTCCTGATCATCAGCAGAGGTCTTCAGCGGGTCCTCTTCTTGGGAGTGATAAAAGACGGAGCTGCCAGAGCCAACGGAGCGCATCATGCTGTATCGTCGTCTTTTGTCCTGTTGACCGTGACACAAATGTGTTGAGGAGCCATTCTTCTTTGATTGGTTAAAGAAGATAAAGAGGGTTCGACACTTCCACACATCCCAAAAAACGACAACCGTAATATGTTCTGAAAATTCTATACAGACGACAGCAACCAGCCACAACATCACGACCACTTACAGTATCTCACAAAAATGAGTACATCCCCCACATTTGTAAACGTGATATTCTATCTTTTCAAAGGGCAACGCTATAGAAATAACACTTTGCCGCCAGTGTTCTATATGAACTTTTTTGATCACCGACTAATGTGGCTTGTGACTTTCAAAATTTTCCAGGGAGTCTCGTTTTGTTTTGTTTTATTTTGTTTTTTAACAATCTGTTGCCACAAGCCATTACCATCAACATACTGCTCATTCCCCAGTTGCTATGTTTGGTCGATAACCTTTTCAAAACCCAGGGCTATTATCAGCACGTGTATGTAAATGTTGCCACCCATTCAGACCACACGAGTAAAAAGCTTCAAATTTCACCCAACAATCTCATGAGGAAAAACCTGTTGCTTAAATGCTCTTTTTTAAAATGAGAAATTAAAACAAAAACAGGACAAAAGTCTTGAATTCACTGCCAATTCCATCTATCCATGAGCTGAACCGCTTTTTCCTCATGAGGGTCTCAGGCCCCCTGCAATGCTATCACTTGAATTGCAAAGGAGGAACTGGAATTTTTTTACTCGGACCATTCCCATGACCCAAAACATCATACTTACAGATTTGGGGTTGGCGTGGTATCGGGTGGCATCGCAAACCACGGCGTACCCAATGAGACTGTCCCCAGGATACAGGAAGGCGTTGCCCACTGGTGAAAGGAGGACCTCTTTGGTCTCAGGAAAGAGCCAATCGATGGAAATGTCACTGAGGACCGGACACATGGTCTTCTTCAGAGTCTTTATCATCTGCAACGCATATAATGTTGTTCGAGAGCAGGGAAAAAGAAAATTGCTGCCTTTCTTCCAGTTATTTACTGGAAGCAGGCCAAAATTCTTGACAACAACCCTTGTGATACTACTTTTTTTTTTTCTCACAAGAATGTAAACCAGACGTTGTCAGGACATTGAATTGTGGACTGTTTGGCTTTTCTTTGTCTCTCATCCGTCCTTTCATCTATTCCCAAAAGTCTCACTGAATTTGCCTCCAGCAAATAACAAACACAGTCTCTTCCAAATGAATGGAATCTTAATGAGAGAGTTTCCTCCCACCAGCTCTTTTTGATGGCGGTAGGCGTCTCTGCAAGGTATCTTAACAACTGTATTTTGCATTCCAACAGAATGAGCTCTCATCATGGCCTGTCTTCAAGTTGGAGCATAAATACTTGAGTTTTCCAACCAACTCGGGCTGGTGAAGTCCTATCCCAAGGCTCGATGCATCAACTGATGAATATTCAGAGGTGAGAGAGAAGATAGTATTGTACTAGTACCGATAGTAAGTTCTGCATCATTAAGATGGGTGATAGATTCATGGGACATTGGAACTGTGACGACTGGGAAAAGGACCGGACCTACCCTTGGTTGGAGCCTCTCGCCTTCGGCCAGGAACTCAGCTGTTCCTCTGGACACTGCTGCAAGTTCACGCACCATCCTTCTGCAAGCATTCTGCCCGATGCCGAACGTAAAGCATCTGTGCCGACATAACTTACGCATGAATGGTGAGAGATGCTGCCGTCAAACATTACATATAACAATCCCCAGATTGTTTCTCAAATAGGTCCCTTTATGGCTCTGTGCAGTCTTGGCAAATTATTCAGACCAAATAGAAAGCTGAGTCAGTGATATGATCTTCTGGTGATGCCACATAACAATCATTGCTGTGATCGTCTTTCAGAAAAAGTTCCGTGTTTTGTAACAAACCATCAAAACATCCAGGAGATGAGCTTAAAAACAGGCCAAATAAAACGTAAATGTCACAGGGTAGAAAGAGAGATTGAGCGACATCTGAACTGGCAGGCTTTGCGTGCGTGACCATTTTGGGGCAGTCGTTCAATAACAACGAGGAGACAAAGGCATTTAAGTAGGCCTAATCCATTTCTGCAGAGACTCCACACAAGGATTTTGAGACTTACAGCCGAGCAGGAAAACAAGATGATTTCCCACAGTGCTCTGAATCTATTTTGCCTTTGACGTCTTATTAGTCAGACGTTATTTCGGTTCCATATGTTCACAGATTGCATTTTGATGAGATGTAAGCTCCAGCAATGAGTAGCCATTGCAATTAAACCCTGCCAATCCTTCAAAGGCTTCTCCATGGGGCCAAGAGAGCATCGTGAGCATGCACTGTGAAACATAAGACGACGCATACACGTAGTGAACCTACCTGATGTAGCGCGCATGACTGCGCACCAGCTCGATGACTTGGCCTGTGTTGCTCACCGCACCGTCGGTCAGCAGAAAAAGCAAACGGGGGTGTCCGGGAAACATTGGCTGTCTCAGAATCCATTTGAGGGGCGCCAGGATGTTTGTACCCCCCATGTCGGCTCGGATCTTACGAACGTACTCGCAAGCCAGGGCTAGTGCTTCCTGGATCGGGGGCGGGGGGACATCAAACCAACATTTAGTGTCCCAGCGGGGAGAATTCCAATTTACACTAACAAGCAGCAAAGTAAATGAGTGGTTAGCATGATTGCCTCACAGCCAGAAGGTACTGGGATCAGATCTGTAGTCATGTGGAACTTGTCTGTTCTCCTTATTTGTGTGGCTTCACTCTAGGTACTCAGACTTCTTCCAAAGGCAAAAAAAAAAAATGCATGTTATGTTTGTTGAAAATTCAGTCCTGTGGCGTATTGTGGCGTTTACCGTGTTTGGTTTTGATAAACGTGTGTGTTGCGTTCTAATATGCGAAGATCACTGAAAACGCTACCAAGAGGAAAATAAAAGAAAATATCATTTTTATCCAGCTTATTTCTCCTGATACCCCACTTCAGCTCTTGAGTAATATGTCTGCTTTTGGTTCAGTCCAATAACAATTCTAAAAAGCTCCCCATTGCCCTCATCACGGAAACTGACTGGTCTGAAATATGAAGCCGAGTTGATATTACAGAGCCACAAAAAAGATCGATTAAGCAGTCCTGCAGAGGTTGACAAATGTGTTGTGACTTCCAGGATCCACTTTCACTTTGCATTTTATTTTCAGAAACTTTTTTTTTTTTTTCATGCAACGGCACTATGCTGTGAACCTCAAACAGCGCTTGAGGCCTCAAACATGGTATCCCCTTCTGTCATTTTTACAAATTTGCGACTGGGTTTGCAAGTCGATAGTTGAAGGGCCGTAATTTACAAACACCCCCACGAGGTAGAGCAATTGAGAAACACACAAAAGAGGCACAACACCCATGGCCAACCATTCAACATACTACAGTATATGTTTACCTTACAGAGTAAAAAAAAGAGCAGCTACCGCATGTCATGACCTGTCATTTGTCTGCATGACAATGTCCAAAATTCACTCTACAAGGACTCCACTTCGAATTTGAGGAAGCACATCACTGTTTTCCATGTCTTGGCGAAACTCATCCTGATGAGCCTGATGTGTTTCACGAGAGTACATAAATTATTTGTGAGGGTGTGGGGGTATATGAGGGGTGTTTATGTGCGGGGAAACATTTTTGACAAACATTGAATGACAAAATAAATACATAATAAATCATATAAATAATTCCATAACATACATCCATTCATCCATTTTCTAATCCGCTGATCCTCATGAGGGTCGCGTGTGCATGCTGAAGCCTATCCCAGCTGTCTTCGGGCAACAAGTGGGGTACACCCTGAATTGGTTGCCAGTCAATCACAGGGCACACATAGACGAACAACCATTCACACTCACATTCACACCTAGCGACAATTTGGTGTGCTCCATTAACCTGCCATGCATGTTTTGGAGATGAGGGAGGTAACCGGCGTACCCGCAAAAGACACACGCAGGCATGGGGAGAACATGCAAACTCCACACAGGAAGGCCGGAGCCGGAATTGGACCCAGCACCTCTGCACTGTGAGGCGGATGTGCTAACCAGTCGCCCACCGTGCCACCCTAATTCCACAACATGAGGCTTCAAAATCATGCGCAATCAAGTCATTCTGTCTGCTTTCAAACATTGGAAGCATATGTGCTGAATGTACTGAAACAACACATTACTCAACTGTCAAATGCAATAATCAAAGCAAATACTTTTTACAGCACTGTACAGTATGTAGCTCATATTCAACCAGGCAGAAGCAGTGAAAACAACAACAAACACAACAAATATCACATGCAACACCGCAAGTCCTCAATAGTACCTCTTCGTAGTTCTGACTACTGGAAAAAAGAGATTTGAAGGTGGAGCCAAAGCTTATTAAGTTGAAGAGGCAGCCTGGGATGAGACTCTTGAGAATGACCACCATTGCATCCTGGGACAGAGTGACACCTCAAATGTGTGAGCAGCATGTCGAAAAGGCTGTGGAAGTAACTACCTCAGACAAAACCGAGCTCTTGTGCCGACCAAAAGGGTTGCGAACACTTCCGGTGCTGCAGCAAGCAACCTGCTCATCTTAAGAGAAGAAAATAGGCGACGGTGAAATCTAACCTGCTCCTTGACCTCTCGCCACCGGTAACTTATGTTGTCATAGTTACCTAGAAAGAGTCACTTAGTTACCTAACTGATTTTTTGACTCTAAAAGTGACTTAGTTGAGTTACTGATGGCTTAATTTTAAAACTAATTTTCTTTATTAGTTACATTCAACAGATGCCGATAACCTTGCTTCACATTAAATTGGCAGCCATTTAATTGAAAATAACAGTGACATTTAGCAATGAAGTTGATCTTCTAAACATATAAATACACCTTTTTTTGACTTAACAGAAGTCATGATTTTGGTTTGGAAAAAATGAGTCTTTGTGGATTTCACTTAACGCAGGTATGTATTTTAAGGCAGTCTGTTTTCGCCTGACATATTTAACCATTAATATTGTCATGGCAAACCTATTTATAATGTACATAGTGTATAAACGTTAAATGTGGGGACCTCACATAGTCACGCAGCTTAATGGGTTTTATGAACTGGCCTCAGCTCCTTCTCGTGCATGACATAACAATATAATAATTCCAGGGAGCGAAGTACCTTCACGCGGGTGATGTTGACACCGCTCATGCTGCCGCTGCGATCAATGAGGAAGATGAACTCTCCGTGCACCTTCCTTAAGTCGGCGTTGACAGGCTTGAGGTTGGGACAGAAGTTGAGCATGACCACAGGGTTGTGGAGGATGTCCTTGTGCAGACGCCTGTGGATGGCCTCCACCTATGGAACAGAGAGGAGACGTAATGAGTGATGAGCTTCAATGGCAGTGGTGGACGTGACAGGCAAATTCCAGGCCGAGTGCGGGGATGGATCCATTGCTGAGTTCCCATGGAAACGCAATTTGATTACATTAGAGTGTGTAGGGACAAATGACCGCACAGGCGAAAGCTCTTAAGAACAATTTTGCCTTTGCGATGCCTACACACATGCTCTTGCAAAAGCAATTGACAAGATGATTTTCACTGTAAATTTTCCGAATTTACCCAATTACAATCACAGTAGCATGATACTGACATACACCTTCAAAAAGTTTGAACAAATACTGTCTACTGTTTGCTCATGCATGTTCGTAATAGGCAGACCATCACATTGTGTTGTGCGTCAAACCACACATGCCGTGACATGGACCTCATCAGCTCAGGCACTCAGCGCAGCTGCTGAATGACACCCTTACCTTCCTCTCATTGCTGGAGTCCTTCTTTGTGGCCTTGATGAAGTCGCTGCGGCCATGGATGAACTCATCATATTCATCCTGCGTCATGTCGCCGCTCTCGATGAGCACTTGAGGCACGTGAGGTTCTGAAGGAAACCACATTGTGTCACGCTAAGTCATCTGTGTTGGAATGATTCTGATACAAAATAGCTCAGTGGTATAAAATTGTCCGAATGGTTTATTTACAGCAAGCCAGTGGCCACTTTGCATGTGCGGGAAGTGGGACAGGACTCCCACCACACAAAAAACGTGTGTAACGAGCTTTTCTCATTATCTTGTCATTATGTTGTCCTGTCCTTTCTGTGGTGTGTAATTGTTTGACCTTGTCCTTTCTCAGCTATGCCCTCTGGGCCCAGGGCGCTAATCTTTTCCTTAATGGGTTTGGGCGCACAAATGTTTGTGCCCTATGCCACATTTAAATCAAAAGTGGTGGTGCACTTTGCCTCTTTTTTTCATTTGTTTTTGCAAACATCAACATATGAGAAAAAAAGGAGGACAGTATCATCCCCACAGTCAAAAGTGAAAAAGAAACCAAAGTACAACACTAGACATAAAACAAGCAAAAAAAAACATCACAGATGCACATATGCACAAAAAAAAAAAATACTCAAGCATGTCAGCGCAACAACAAGAAAATTCAAAACAACAAAGTCCAGGGTAGTTCCGTTAGTCTTCATCTTGACCTATTTGTTAGGAACCTGCCATATTCACTAGAAATAAAGTCCAGTTAAATGATATCTAATTTCCCTCATTGGAGGAATAAATCAGGTTTTCATAATTATAATGGAATAATATGGAATCTCTTCAGTAATATTTATGAATTAAGGGTTAGGTCCAGCAACAGGTGGAATTTTTTTTTTCTAAAACGTCATCGCTATGAATTACAACACATGGTAAAATATAACAAGTGTTTCAAGGTCAAACGAAAAGGCAAAAAAAAAAAAAGAACTTATTTCAAAACCCTGAAGTGCTAGGCAAAAGGCAAAGACATTTTTTAAACTCAGCAGCGAAAACACCTGTCGGGACACATAAAGCCATCACAGATTAAAATGGGCTTTTGAGCACTATTATCTATCCATTCATCCATCCGTCCATCCATTCATGCACTTATCCATCTGTCTAAATTGGCAACCCCCAGCTGTGGGTCTGTTTGCCAACAAAGCCTCTATGAGACGATAGCGGATCAACAGAAAAGGTTGTTGCTTCAGGGAGACAAGCGGCCCACGGGTGCTTTTCAACAAGATGACACCAGGAGAGAAAACAACAACAAAGACCCGGCGCATCTCAACCCACGCAGTGGAATCCTCAGGTGGACTAAATGCAAGGACTTTGTTATGGCCCTCATACATTCAAAACGAAACACACAAATGCATCATTAGTGGCCTGGAGGAGGCTTGGAGTGAGCGCTAAACTATCTTGAGTGTGACCTTGTATAGACGTACCGCTAGGGTAGATGAGGATCTTAACAGGACAGTCATAAGTGTACTTGTCTGCCAGAGTGATGACCACACTGGTGGCTGAACGGGCCAAAGGGTCAGCATCGGCTCGGATGGCGTGAGACGGGCTCTCCACACCTACACAAATATCAACAATCATGTCACTTACATTTTTTTCCCTTTCGCCTTCATCTGTCTCTTGAACGTAAACATGATATCACGAGTCAGTCTAGTTGCTACCACCATAGCGGAGTTTTTGATTTTATATTTGTGTACAAATTCCTAACTCCTGAATGCAGACATGTTCACTCCAAACTCAAAAATGTTCAGAGACTTCGGAAATTTATATTTTTAGATTCAAACTTCAGTTCCGTAGTACTTTTTAATGGGTTGTTTTTTTTCATGAAATCCCATTCAAAATCCCAATCCCATTCATTTTTTTTCCACTCAATTCCGAAAAAAAGTGAGAAAGACACAGAGCATGGAAAAATTGTGCACTGTGTGTGTGTGTGTGTGTGTGTGTGTGTGTGTGTGTGTGGGTGAGAGAGAGAGAGAGAGAGAGAGAGAGAGAGAGAGAGAGAGAGAGACAGAGAGAGAGACAGAGAGAGAGAGAGAGAGAACCTGCATTTTAGGATGTTATTCTCCCAAGGATGTTTTTATTGTTTCAGTGTCAGAGTTTGAGGAAGGGTTCCTGCTTCAACAAGCCCCGGAGATGACTCGCTGAGTATAGTATAGCGCTGGCCAGATCATGTCACTTGTTATGTCACATGTTACTACTCAAAGAACATGCTCAGTCCACAGAAGAGTAAACCTGGACCAGGATTTTTTTCTCCACTTCTGACCTGCGAGGAGGTAGGGGGCTCTTATCTCCAGCTGGAAGTTGAACTGGTAGTCCATGGAGTTGATGGCCTCATCCTCCAATAGAGCCAACAAGCAAAAATGAGCGGGGGTGGAAGCACGATCGTGTGCGCTGGAGCCACATTGATATTTATCCCTCCTAAAAGAAACGAAATACTGACTGACCACACAGACAATTTTCTTCTGGAAACAGGAATTTACGACTGAACTAAATTCCCAGTTCAAGCCCACAAATACAAAGCAGAAAGGTAGAGAAAGCATAACATGATGACATTTGTTCTGGACTCGTGTTTTTAAAGAAAAGTTCTTTTCCAGTTACACCTATCTGTGCATTTCTTACATTCTGGAGAAGTTTGGGGATAAGCCCTGTTCCTCGTTGATGCTCCTTTGTACGCGGGGCGTGCACGCTGGTGGCGTGGTCACACTGATGCCGCCGCTGGGAAGAGTGGACAGCTCACAGGAAGTACTGACCAGAATTTGGACTGTCTCCAAAGGAGGAATGATCCCCAGGTTTACTACTAGCACTGTCCTCTCCAAATCCTCATCCAGAAGTATGTGTCCTGGAAGACCAACTGCATTAGTTCTTTTCTCTTTGAGTTCATTTTTTCAGATGTGTATTCTACCGGTAATTACAAAATGTATTTTGATCCTGATGCTTTTATTTTATGCGTCCACTTGACGGAATAAAATTGAGTACATTCAGCATTACATTTTTTTCATTGTAGAAGCCATTAAAAAAAAAAAAAAAGGTAAATTAGTACTACTGTATATTTTAAAGGGGGGATTGTATTAAAAAATCCTTGCAATATATCAATATTATTAAAAGTGAAGACAATTTGCAGTTTAGATGTTTTTGCAGGAAGTATGAAGTAGACATGCACAACATGATTTGCCTTAAAATGATGTGGCGAGCCATATCTGGCCTCCAGGCTTTGAGTTTGAAACCAGTGTTGTAATGCCTGTAATGTGCTTATAGTGTTTGTTCATATTAAAGGTGATAGGTTGAAGATAAGATAGATCTCGATTGATCTTTCTAGAAAACTACCTTTCCAATCCAAGCTATGCATGTACAGTAGCATAAAACAACAGAAGACACGGGAGACAGAAGAAAGATAGCAAACTCACCGACACCACTTGGCGGAGCGCCATTTGGTGTGCTGCATGAATTATGGTAACAGTCATCAATCTTGGCTTTGTCCTTGATTTGCAGCGTGATAATCTGACTGGAGATCATTGCCTCAAAGCCCACAACAATGTTTTTTTCCTCCAGTGGATAGATGAAGATACCTGCAAAGCCATCAGAGAGGAAATAGAATAATTACATCGGGCAATGATGCCTATTCAGAGGATTAAAAAAAAAAAAAAAAAAACTTACCTTCAATGGCATGATCTTCAATATTTTCATATGTCATGGAAGCGGTCATGGTCTGAGTGTAGCCCCTGACACAGGAAGTGATGTCAGAGACACTGAGCGGTAGAGCACTACGATTCTCCTTGTTGATGAGTCCGGGCATGGCACTGCCGTTAGGAGTGTTTACATGATGGAGAGAAACAATCATTACATGGCAACTTCTTATGTTCGGGCTAGGTGACAAGAGGATGCAGTGGAACCTCTGGGGTCGATCAGAATCCCTTTGGGGACGCAGGTGCACCTCTGATGTGTTTTATGGATTTTTTTATTTTCCTATTGGAAGTACGGTACTGGAAATATAAATGATAGGTTACAGGTTAAAAAGCATTCAAACGTGATGTCACTTTTCACGGGTGTAAAAATTCAATTTATCTTGTATTATTTGTTTCAACTATGGATGGACGTAATATGCTATTAACTGATGATCATGTGAAATTGATTGTGGATAAAGTCAGTGAGGCAAAATCGAGTGCCCTCATTGGTTTCATCAGCAGAGGCACAGTGGATTCAATCTGAACTAGTTTGCGGTCTTAAAAAAAGAACAACATGTCTCATCAGCTATTGACAGTTGAGCAACATCTTCTCTATCGCAACTCATTAAAACATGAGTTCAAAATATGTGGAGAGAAATTATCCTATTATCGTCAGGCTTCGTGGAATTGTATCCGCTTATTTACTCGAGACTGGTAACTAAAGTGCATAGCAGTAAAGGCATTGAATGTTGTAACCTAAAAAAAAACACTCCAAAGATACAACAAGAGAGGATAGCCAACAATCTGTTTTATGTGAGAGAGAGAAAATTATGTGCGCAAAAAGGCAGCGTTCCCAATTATGGAAATGAATCAATAAAATCCCACATGGCTCTTGCGCATGCCCCATCATTGCTCATGTTGCTTCCTGCACCTGCAATCCAGGGCGTGCACACAACAGAGCTCCATCACAGGGCTTGATGGGAACTTATGACGAAAGCCATTTCCATAGAGACGGCTCAGCTTGCTAGACCGCAGGCTGACTGAAAGTGAGCCAGCAGCCTCTTGTCTTTAAAGCCACAATAGAAGACATCTACGCAGCCGAGTCAAATCTCGCATCGACTGGATTAAAAGCACTTCTTGCGGAGGTCATCCAGATGTAAGCTATTGAGTGATTTGCTCTCATGTGTCCACTCAAAGTGATGGACATTAAACATGATTGATGATCAAACAATGCTCATATTTAACAATAAATGTGTATGCTATTTTTGGGTGCAGAAATTCCTTGCAAGTGTAAGAAATGGCTGCAAATATTTGAAGCGGTCTCTAATATTTTCTACCTCGTATACGGTAAAGTGAAACAAAGCTGCCAGGGGAGCCAGGGCCATGAATGGATGGATGGATTGTAATATGTATTATCAAAATCAACGTACTGCATACTGTTTTATGGTGTATTAAGACTTCATTCATTCAATACTCATTGAAGAAATTCACTCTTCAAAACTTTCAATCCAGCTCCTCGGAAATGTCTTCATTTTTCCCGCCCCAGAGAGAAGCTCTGCTCTTCAACAGATCATTCTTTTCCTTTTTCTAATCCTTAATTCTTTTTGAAATTGTGCATATAGCAAGCAGAACTTACTGCAAATGTCATCTTCTTTGCAAACAAGTGTGGTTTTATCATGACACACAGAGGTAGAGGTAATTCCAGACACTGAATTGCATTATCTTATATTTAGGGATATGCGCGTGTGGGGGGGGTTCTGCATTTATTCATTCAAATAGATGATGTCATCTGCCTTAATTGAGGAACGGCATCTATTAGAGCAGGGGCCACTCACTATAGCCACCACAGACATAAACGATTGCTCTTTTTTCTTCAATGTCTGGCGGCTTAGCCCTCAGTCTGTATGCCATTGTTCAATAACTATAGCGGGCTCAAAACATTGTCAATCAAATGTGAGTATGATTATCTTGGTAAAGGCTAAATAAAGCATTTGTTTATAAAACGATTGTATTGGCGTTCAATAGATTGTGCAAGTGGTCTCATGATGTGGCAGGTTGATGTATAAGCCAACTAATTGTTGGCCTATATTGATCTATATTGACCTGTAGAGGCAGTGTAACTGTTAGGATGAGTTCGAGCAGCATAATGACCAGCATTGAGATACAGACTGGCAAGAAATAACTGCCATGCACAAAAACATCAAAAAGATAACAAGCTTATAAGCAATGTGTTTTTCGATGCTCCTTCAGGGAAGTCTCTTTGCAGTCTTCTCACTTTCTGGTCTTTAGTATTTTAGTACCTGTAGACCCCCTCCTTGCTCACATGACTCACTCGCCTCCCTCAAAACCCCACAACTCTCAGGCTTTTACATCAGTATCATTACAGCACTCTAAACTCATCAGTGTCAAAACAGCACGCCGCTGCTGTGGTAACCACCACTTGAAAGGCATTTGGATGATGGCTGCAGCATCAAGAGCATCAAGATCTACGACAGACCACCTTTAATCATCTCCCTGACCTTTTCTACATTATTCTACATGAATGAAAAAGCGAGAGAGAGAGAGAGAGAGAGAGAGAGAGAGAGAGAGAGAGAGAGAGAGAGAGAGAGAGCGAGAGAGAGAGACAGCACATATACGTTCATTCAAAGCCAAATGGGGCCAGCCATAGTCTTACCTTTCATCTGTGTCAACGAGCCTGCACTGAGGAGCTCTCTGACTCACAAGTCCACTTATGATGAAAGATATCTTCCCTCCTCGCCGACCACGCTCTGTCAGCTTTGTGTTTGCGTTCCGCGAGCAACGAGGAAGAGGACTGTTGCTACAGGTGGGGGCAGAATCAAGCCAGCTTGCGAGGGAAAAAGAAGGCTGCTGCAGCACTTTACATCAAGCACAGCAACATGTGGTTCAAAAAATGCTCTCCTCCTCCTCACAGTGCTCCTGAGAGAGAGAGAGAGAGAGAGAGAGAGAGAGAGAGAGAGAGAGAGAGAGAGAGAGAGAGAGAGAGAAAAACCAAACCTGCAAAGCATCTCTCTCCTTATGCTCAAAGCATGCACAAGCCATTCATTCAGTTTTCCCTGATATGTTGTATCAATGTGAAGAGTAATCATGGGGCGTCGGGTGGGGCCATTGGATGGAGGCTAGAGGGAAACTTCTTGGTGTGGAGTGGGGTTGAGCATGAAGTTTCACTGTAATAAAAACCCGAAATCCATTCCTCTTTGGCCTGGAAGACTCAACCTACATTATTTCCCAAAATAAATTTAAATGTTGACTCGTCAGACCACAACACACTTTGCGTCAAACATCTCACTTTACTCGTAGGCTGGAGGCGCTGACGGCGTAGCTGAGGTTTTTAAATTGGAGAAAAACATGGTGGGTAGCGCTACGACATTCATCTTGTCTTCTTATTGAAAAAGTTTTTAGGTTTCTTTTTTATAAGACAATGGTCTGATTTTTTTTTTTTTTTTTTTTGAGAAGAAAAAAACTCTTCCCAAGCTGACAATTTTGTCTGTCACTTCGGCCTTTGCCTGAGCTGTCAGTGTCATGGCTTCCTTGTGATGTGTTGACGGTGCCATCTCCGTGGAAGGACGAGCATGCTCCCACATACCCAGAACGCATTGCTTTGGTGACAGCAAGAGGTTGGAGCGCAACTTAACTCATTTTAAAATTAATTTTGCTGCTGTAGACTGCAAATTTCCCCAGTGTGGGACAAATAAAGATTATCTTATCTTATCCTATCTTATCTTATGTTATCTTATCTTATCTTAAGATACAGTATGCGAGACAGTTGACAGACTGGTGATGATACGGAGCCAATCAGCTCTCGGGATAAATCCACTCGTGCTGTCATTGGTCAATGCCGGGAACCAATTTGAGCGGGCATGCACAAAGCCTATCAGTCATGTCAGCTCTTCTTTCAACATGAACCGACGCGTCGTTTCGCACTATGGGATACAGTATGCCAGTATTCTTTAAAATAAATTTTGGAGGGAAAAAAAAAACGCTAAAAACTGAAGCCGCAAAACTTGGAGCGCGACGTGGCGAGGGATCCCTGTATATTCAATTGAATAGAGGTTGAAAAGGATTTGAAAATGCCAAAAGAAAGAAAACTCCACCCATGCGCAAAGTTAGACTGACCTTTGCCCTATGCACGAACAGAGACCCTTGAAGTCTGTGGTCAAGAAATCCCTGATGTTTACCATAGGCTCTAAAAACAAAACACGGAAAAAAGGAGGACATCTGGTCAGTTTAAAGAAAGACTAGGTCAGATGGGAAAAGGTTTGCATCCCATCATCACCTCTAAGGACCCCTTTCCTCCTCTCTCAGGATGGTTTTAGTGTGTCAAATGTTGCGTGGGTGTTTGGCTGCCTTGGTGTTTTGTTATCATGTCGTTTGATGCATCTGTTTTCTTGCAAGGCTACCATGGCAATAAGAGTGTGTTTATACACTCATTTGCTATCTGGTGTGTGCGTTTGTCTGCGTGTGTGCGTGTGCATCCACCCCCAAACTGGATTAACCTGTGACCAATAAGAATCAGTACCCACCCCTCCTCCCTTACACTGCCACACATACTAATAATAACGCACACACACACACACACACACACACACACACACACACACACACACACACACACACACACACACAAACTTGTTTACCCTCTTGTGCGCATCTGACAAACACTCACTCATCCATTTTTTTTACCACTGTCCCAGCAGGCTTAGCTGCATTGTACAGACTAGACACCAGTGCATCAGACAGTGTATAATAGGCACAGAGTTTTTTAATTAAACCTCAACCCTTAATTTAATGTGTACGTGTATTCTAATATTAATGAGATTTTTCCATCCATTTATTTTCTTCCGTTTATCTCGACTTGGGACACAGGGGCAACAGCTTTTACAGAGAAGGCCGGACTTCCCTCTCCCCAGACACTTCGTCCAGCTTTTTCAGGAGAATCCCAAGGTCTTCCCAGGTCAGCCGGGAAATATAGTCCCTCCAGCATGTCCTGAATTGAGGAGGTCTTTTGAAGTAATCTCCCCACCGACTCACAATGTCCTAAGTCGAGGTCAGCAGAGCCCCATCTCCACTCCAAACAGTGTTAATAGCGCAGTGCTTTCTCCTCCTGAGACGCCGGATGATGGACCAGAATTTCCTCGAAGCCATCCGGAAGTCTTTTTCCATGGCCTCACTAAACTCATCCCAAAGGCCAAAAAGGCCTGATAGGACTCTTTTCATCTTAACGGCAGCCCTTATAGCTGGTTTCTGCCAACGGATTGCCGTCACAATAGGAAGCGACCACTTTACTGTGAGCCAATGCGAAGGGGGACCTGCATTGTCCTTTTGGGCTGAGGCCAGCTGAGCCCCATGGGTGCAGGCCCGGCGCTTGCCAACGAGCCCCACCTCCTGTTCTGGCTACAAAAGGGAGACCCAGTGACCCGCGTTTGGATGAGAGAAAAAGTGATTCAATATTTTTATTTGTCATAAGGTGGCATATGAACCGTGCTTTGCCTGGTACCTCATTCGGGACCTGTTTGGCATGGGTAACCCTGCCAGGGGCATAAAGGGATCATTGGGACACAATGTGATTTGATTTATAATAATGATTTTAATTTATTCAGGGAAATTCAATATGTAGTAAAAATGTTTTCTATGTTTTTTTTCTCTAACTAATTTAGTATGTGACTATGTGTATAGTATCTTATTCGTGAGAAAAAATATACAATTCATCAGTTAAGCTTGTTCCCACTATAAAATGTTATAGTTTCAGATACAATCGGAGTGGTTTTAGAAGTAAAACTTCCCATCCTAAATTAAAGATCAAATGATTTTGAGGAGGACAAAGGTACACAATATTGATAGTATTGTTTAAGTATGATATTGACATAAACTGAGTAATTTGCATGACACCAACTCTAAAGTAAAGTTAAAATCCAAATTGCCTGGTTGAATCCGGTCAAATTTATAGTGCTCAATACTGAAAAGTACTCAAATGATTTTGTATGTTTTCAAGGATGCTACAAATTAAAAAAATTATTTTTTTTTTCTTCAATTTGTCTGTGCTGCCAAATGTTCCATGGACAGTGGTTGGGAACCACTGCTCTGGAACAGAGGTGGATAAAGTCAAAAAGCCAGTGGTCTGTGTGTGTTGTGGTGTAGTACAGGAGAAGTGCTGGCGAACATCCTCTAAATTTGCAGATAATATTTGGTCAAAATGTTTGTCAAACAGTGAGTGAAGTCCCAAGAAATCCAGAACTTCCATAATCCCTCTGCATTCCAAGTCAAATGCTTAGGGTTCAATATTCCTCCGGCTACATTTTCTGTGAGGTCTAAAATGTAATTGCTATTGACTCCCACATAAAACTCATGAAAAATCCATGGCTCCTAAAATGTCTGTGATTAACTCATGAGAGAGAATGAGAGCTAAAACGTTTCATGATGCAAAAGGGACAAGAGTGGCCAGACTAACCTATTAAATAATTTAACACGGAAATAATATTGAAATAAAAATATTTTAAATAAATACAAATTGAAATGGACATACATACATACATACATACATACATACATACATACATACATACATACATACATACAGAAATAATTAAATAACACAAATAATTAAATGTGGAGATAAATGAACACTGAAGTACATTAATACTCGATGTCTATGACATATAAAATTTTATTGATAAAGAAAATTGTTTAATTTTGTCACTTTTGGTCCCCCATACCAAACGGCCCACACTCAGAGTTCCACATATTACAGTAAATCCCCGGATGTCAGTGGAGGCATCACGGTCACAGTGGAGTCACCAGTTTCGTTGTTTGGCCTGGCACGTTGCGGTCGTTTCTCGTCAGCACTAATTACTTGTCACCTCACTGCACCGGACATCAGGCCACACCAACCTCCAAACTTTTGCTGAAACGTTCCGGCTTATCGCATCAGGAAGTTGGAGCTAAGTATTGTAAAATGTTCAAGGACTCGTGGGCGCTGGAGGCAGACATCCAGGAGGCCAACTCCTCGTGCGTGCAGGTGAATTTGGGGGTGGCTAACCGTCCTGGATGAGAGCTAGCTAAAGTTTGGATAGAACTTTCGTAACATACAATTTCATTTTTCTGTCAACAGTTTGAGCCCACAACGAAGATGGGCCGAACTAATCGCTCATGGATCACCAAAGATGTCAATGGTAACGAAATATCCCCGTTTATAAATCTATTTGTTCGTTAACTAACGGCATTTTTTTTTAACTCTGGCCGATGCACAGGAAACCTCAAGACGGACATGAGCGGACAACGTGGAAAGTGGGAAGGAGATAAAGTGGACCCAGCTGAGGCGTCCTTACTGAACAAATTTATCCGCCGGGCTCTTGTGAGCAGTAGACATGAGGTGGAGGTCCTGCAGCGAGACCCCACCTCCCCGCTGTTCTCCGTCAAGACCTTCGAGGAGCTGCGCCTGTGAGTTTAGGTCCACACAACTACCATAGCTTTTTCTTTTTTTTCTGTCTTTCTTTCTTATTTTAAACAAAGGATAAACTCAATTTCAGCCCATCACACACCTGAACAAATTCATTGAAAAAAAGGAACCTTACTCAGAGCAAAACACCTGCTGTATTTTCCGTTACAAAAATCTCATGTCAAACCACCACTCAAAAATGTCATATAAAATATGTAGCATTGTCAGGCAGAATCCTCTCATATACCTAATCATACATCCATCGATCCATCCATTTTCTAATGCGCTTATCCTCACAAGGGTCGCGGGCATGCTGTCTCCGGGCAGGAGGCGGGGTACACCCTGAACTGGTTCCCAGTCAATTGCAGGGCGCACACAGATGAACAACCATCCACACTCACACTTAGATCTAGGGACAATTTAGAGTGTTACATTAACCTGCCAAGCATGTTTTGGGATTGTGGGAGGAAACCAGAGTACCCAGAGAAAACCCACGCAGGCATGAGGAGAACATGCAAACCCCACACAGGAAGGCTGGAGCCGGAATCGTACTCTGCAGTTCTGCGCTGCGAGGCCGACACACTAACCACTCGTCCACCGTGCCGCCTATACCTATTCACTTTATAAGAAATAATTTTTTTTTAAAAGCTTGTTTAAGTTACCACACACTGTGTCATTCAAGTTGGTCTTGTAACATATTGCTATCATACACTATTGCATGTCAACACAATGCCACCCAAAAATTACTTTCAATAGTTAATTTACTTTAAAAAATATATTTATATATTATGCCATCAAAGTAAAACGGGATGGGCTCCAGCACAGCCAAGAACCTCATGAGGACAAACGTTGTGGAAAACCAACAAATCACAGGAAAGCGGAATTACACGTTTGACTAGTAGTAAATTGTGAGTGTTTGAGCCGTGCCATGCCAAAAATAGAAAAAGTAATTACGGTTTGTAATTGCCAATCGATGTCACAAGATGGCGGCATAGCAGTACTTGTGTCTAAACGAAACTGTGCAACTCATTTTAAGTACAGTACTTCCTTGAAACTAAAATGCCAACAGATTTTGCCAAAGTAGTCTTGACAAAACGTTTTGGCTTGAAGACAATAATGGCTGAAATGTGATTTTTTTTTTTTTTTTTCCCCCCCCCCAAACAAAAAAAAATCCCCCCCCCCCCCAAAAAAAAAACATCTTCAAATTCACAAATGCATAACAAGTACAAACCATCATTCAGCACACCACTGCTTTCCTGGTGAGATTATAATTTTGGATTTGTAAGTACTTATTTTTTTCTTCCGTAAATAGGAAACCAGAGCTGTTGAAGGGGGTCTATAACATGGGCTTCAACAGGCCTTCCATGATCCAGGAGAAGGCTCTACCTATGATGCTGGCACAGCCGTGAGTCTCTTTTTACACTTGCAGTATGCCGTTTACAATTAACAAACAAAAATTGAATTAGTTTTTAAGGAATGTTCAATACCAGTATGAGTATTCAACTCTTAAGTGCTCATTCATACCGATACCAAGTAACTGATACCAGTAGTACTTATATTACATAAAATTTCTATTGAACCAGACAGATCATTTTAAAGACCATTCATACATTCCTGACAAAAGACAGAACAGTCACTCTGCAATAGAGAATTTAAGTTTAAAACAAAACACATATTACTTACTATGATTTAGGATTGTTTTGTAATAAATGAACTAAAGTACAAAATAAAACTGACAACTCTCTGAGTTTAGTGTTTGTTCAAAATAATTTGAAGTGCAAAATAATAGCGGTTCAGCTGTTAGTGTTAAGCATGACACTGACATTGGAACCAGTCATTTTTACACCACCAAACATGTATTTGTATTTGGACAAAAAAAATTTACATTTTAAATAACACTTGATTTCTTTACAATTTCTTGAAATGCAGACCTCAGAATCTGATTGCCCAGTCACAGTCAGGCACAGGTAAAACTGCCGCCTTTTCTCTGGCCATGCTCAGCCACGTGAACCCCGCCCACAAGTGGACTCAGGTAAGCTACGTGACCTGCTGCTGTGTTCATTTTTTGACTGTGTATGCCAAGTGAGTTTTTTTTTTCTCCCCCCTAGACTCTTTGTATCGCGCCTACATACGAGCTTGCCCTCCAGATCGGTCAAGTGATAGAGCAGATGGGAAAATTCTGCCCTGACATCAAACTGGCGTACGGCATCAGAGGCAGCAAAGGTGAGAAAGTCGAGGTCACATCAGAGTCTCTCCGCTGTATGTCTCAAGTCCAGGAGTTGGCCTTGTCACTTGTTTTTTTGCCCAGTGGAGCGAGGCAGGCTGTTACAGGAGCACATCGTTGTGGGAACACCGGGCACCATCCTGGACTGGTGCAACAAGTTTAAAGTCATCGAAGCCAAAAAAATAACCATGTTTGTGCTGGATGAGGCTGACGTCATGATCGCAACTCAAGGTCATCGTGACCAGAGCATCCGCATCCACAGGTTAGGAGCATCTTAGCCCTATAAATAGATAAATAGTCAAAACAGTTGTCTTTAGACGGAGACAGGATAGAATAGTCTCGAGGCACAAATGTGGTAAAGGGTACAGAAAAAAAATCAGCTGCTTCGAAGATCCCAGTTCGGGCAGTGACCTCCATCAATTGTCTGGTCGGATGAGACAGACCGTGAACTCTTTGGCATGCCAGTCATGTTTTCTGTTCAGATATTTTGAAAAAGGTTTGCTCTTAGAAGAACCCACCGTGTGGTAGGAGGATTGGATGTTGCTTCGTTCCCATTTCTACAAAGAGAAATGCATGGAGAAGAAAACATTATTTAACTTGACTTAATTAGGACGTACTTGATTTTCATTTGACAGTGATGATATGTATGTAAATATGGGATTCAGCGCAGGTGATGGTAGTGCTTGAGTTAAACCTTGGAAAATGGACATAATGTACATGAACCCTGTACAGAAAGTTTTGAAATGATCTTTTTTTTCTGCCTCTTCGTGCTAATGCAGGCAGCTCACAAAAGACTGCCAGATGCTCTTCTTCTCTGCAACCTTTGAGGAAGCGGTGTGGAGATTTGCGAAGATGATAGTTCCCGAGCCCAACATCATCCGACTGCGACGCGAGGAGGAGACTCTGGACACCATAAAGCAGTTCTATGTCCTCTGCAAGAGCAAGGAGGACAAGTTCTCAATTCTGTGTAACCTCTACGGGAGTATGACTGTGGCACAGGCCATGATTTTCTGCCATGTAAGTCGTACAGTGTAGCTAAGTGCAGTGTAGCCGTGCATTTACTGTACTTGATTAGGAACCAGTAAAAACAGGATTGCTGCCTACAAATAAGGCATCAAAAGCTTGTTTTACGCACAAACAGGTTATTCCAAAGGGTGACATGTTTGATACACACTTCTGAAGAAAATATTATTAATAATTAATGTTAAAGAATAATTGGCAAACAGATAAACATTAGGATGCAACAAATCTGTTTCTGTAAATCTCGTGCAGTGTTAACGTTTTCAAATTCTCACCTCTGAAAAGTTCTGAGAACATCGCAATGTCCCATCACTGGTGAGATATTTTTAAAGCCGATAATATGATGAGTAAATGGTAAACATTGGAAGATGAAAAGAGCTGAACTTATTTTTAATGTGATTTCTCCTCATGCAGACCCGTGAGATGGCATCTTGGCTCTCTGCTAATCTGACCAAGGAAGGCCACAGTGTGGCGCTGCTGAGTGGGGAATTAACTGTGATGCAGAGAGCGAGCATCATTGAACGCTTTCGAGATGGCAAGGAGAAGGTCCTTGTCACCACAAACGTTTGTTCCAGGGGTAAGAGGCAGAAGTCCAGTGCCAAACTGCGTTGTAATTTTTAAGGGGGAGGGCGTATTTAGGCGAACCTTTGATGGATAGTTTGCTGGCTCTCACTGATGGTGTAGTGGTACACTCGCCTGACTTGTGCGCAGGCAGCGTGGGATCTCTAAATGTGTTCTGCGACTGACTGGCGACCACTTCAGGGTGTAGTCGGCCTTCCGCCCAAAGTCGGCTAGGATAGGCTCCAGCACCCTCCCCCCGCGACCCTGTACAGGATATGCGGTGTTGAAAATGGATGGACAGATGGATAGTTTTCTCAGGGATGCTGGTCAACTTCTATTTTGTCCCCAACAGAAAATAATGAAAAAAGAAGTGGGAAGCAGAGTAATAATGTAGACATGATAAATTGGACGCTTAAAACTGAGAGACCCTGAAAGAACCAAGTAAGGTTGACAGGGAGACTGGAAATAAAGGAGAGGCTGGCTCTGTTGGTAAATTGTAGAAGAGACAAAATGAGCACTAAAGGAGGAGGACAAAGTGCAGCCTTTGCCCTTGGGATGTGGTGCTGTGGTTGTAAACAGAACATTTGGTTGATTATCCCCTGTTCAAGGACCAATAAAGCCTTCCTCTAATTGTGTATTCGATCCAGGAAATGGCTAATGTGGCTTTATACTCATCCTTTGAAGTAAAATCCAAAAGATTTCAATCTACAGCAAAAAATCAAATTAAATGCTCACTGACCGTTGCAGTACTTTTGGAGCAGAGGGTTGACACCAATACACAAGTGTCCAGATGCCTGACGCAGACGCTTCACATTGTCAAAGAATGAAAGGCTATAGACATTGCAGCTCAAATGTGATGGTTAGTAAAGACAGAAATGTCTCCTGTCCAAAGATTTAAATAATAAAGTCACCAGACAGCAACAAACCAATTTTAACGCAATGAACGGAATATATTGTTTGCTAATATAATTTTTAAAGTGCTTCAAAATTCTGCCTGTGGTGTTTTGTCACGAGGCATCGATGTGGAACAAGTGTCTCTGGTGGTCAACTTTGACCTCCCTGTGGACATGGGTGGCAACGCCGATAACGACACGTACCTTCACCGGATTGGCCGCACGGGACGTTTTGGAAGGCGCGGCTTCGCCATCAATATGGTGGACAGCGAGTACGGCATGGATGTCATTCGACAAATCGAGATGCATTTTGGTACTTCTCACTCACCACGCCCACCAATTTAAAGAAAAGTAAACATACAGATGTTGACCTTTTTCTTCTATTGTCTCTTTTTAATCCCCCAGACAGGCGAATCCCAAAACTTGACACATTGAATGTTGAAGAAATTGAAAAACAGCTCAGCTAAACACTCAGCTGCTGCTGCTAAACCCCCACAGACTGTTGTGCCTTCCACAGGTTAATTGTTTACAAAGTGTTGACTATGCAGAAAGATTTGTTTGAGATGCACTTTTGATTTATTCCTAGAAGCAGAGTGCTACACGAGCTGTTCAAACCCAGCGTCCTTGATTTTGTTCTGCTTTGTTTGCAGTGTTGTTTCCTTTACTTTGTGTTTGTTTGCACATTTGCATGGCATTTGAATATTCTAGTGTAGTGAAAAATATATTTTGGTAAATATATCAAAAATACTGTTGCCTTTAAACTGTGTCCTGGTTCTTTCTGTCAAAACTGGATTTCAATCGTCATTTGATGACGGATGATGAGGTTCCGCAGGCTCGGACAAAGGTTTCTGCTATCATGAACAAAACATTCACATAGAGCCGCTTTCACACTGCCTTCCCAGCAAATGGGATGGCGATGCAATGAAGACGTAATGGTTGCGCCTGCATAATATGTCTTCAGAATAAACTAGTGTATGAAGAATTATTTTTGGTATGAATACAACTCTGACGTGAAATTTGAACTGCCTTGCATGCATGATGTCATTGTACCGAACAAAATGAACTCTGAGTATGAAGAATAGTTACATCTCAAAAGATCAAAATCGTAAATATTTATTTCAGTACTTTAAGTCCAAAATTCAAATCCAGAGATTCACTACACAGTGAAATATTTCAAGCTTGTATTTCTTACATGATGAATATACAGTATTTCATAGCTACGATAATTACACTTGTTCTACAAGCTGTGCTTCTCACTTTAAATATTCACTTATTTAAAAAAAAAAAAAGATCTTCTATGCAGAAATGTGAAAACAGTATTAAATACGTGCACTAGTTCAGTTTTATGTTTTTATGTTGAATTCCATTAAAAACATGATTTTACTTCTCCATCTTAGTATGTTGTAGGCAACAATGGCACAAGGGAACGTATGGCAAATTAATGTGGCAATCATAAACTTTTTACATCTCTAAAAGAACTCGAAGAATCAAAATACTAAAGATCAATAAATGGAGCACCTATATTAGACTCTGCTTATTCCTGCTCTTGTCCAGTCAATGATGTGATACACAGAACTGATCTGTCGTGGATGCCACACTGGACCAGAGTCAGGTCCAAGTCAGTGAAGCTCCTGCGTGGCACATCCATGGTTGCTATGGAAACCTCTCCGTACCCGATCCCGAACCTGGACTCTGCGCAGTCCCTCACAGTCCGTAGTGGTTCTGCGGGGTCAAAGCGCCGCTCGAACCTGCTGCCGCACGGCGCCCGGATCGCCAGCAGCAAAGTGTCGATCCGCTCGGACTCACGGCCGGACCCGCGTGACCCTCCCCCTTCTGGAGACGGGCGGCTCACATTCCCCGAGCGTGTCTTCCCGATGGGAGGGAGGACCTTGTGTTTATTGAGGTCAGGAAAGTCCGGCACGTTCAGATTGCTGTGATGGGTGACGGGTTGGCATCGGGCGCGGAGGTCCCTGGTGGGCCTGCCGGACCCCGGTGAGCCACGGAAAGCACCCATGTCACGACTTGCCACACGCTTGGACTTCGGCCTCGTAAAATCCATCCAGCTAACTTCAACGATGCTGTTTATTTCTCCGCGTCAGTTGTCAAAGTGTTACAACGAACCATTCGAACCCAACACTTGTATTTGGCTTCGTTTTCTTTACACTTTCGACAGGCAGCGCTTCAGTTCGGGCGTCACTGTTGTTGCTGCGGCAGCCTGGTTGTCATGACAACCAAAGTACGTCTTTACCTCTGCTGTTCATGTCACAAAACTGCACTTTCGTTCATTTGCGCTGGTGTTCAAAAGCCAAGGATATAGATTTGCTATGAGTCCCGGTTTTTTTCATTCCTCACTTCAATCGAGCAGTTGAATCGAAGCTCACTTGTAATACCTACTGGTCAACACAATTTACTTTTTTTTTTTGGATCAGAGATGCAAGTTTTCCAGATACATTTTTGAATCCGAATCTACCCTCGTTTTTTTTCTCTAGCACATCAGGTTTTCATCATATAATAATTAATATAGGAATGCATTTAGTAATATTTGTTAAGTGTTAGATTCAGGAATCGGAGGATTTTTTTTCTAGAAAGGTCATAGCTATAAATTACAAGCTGTGATAAAATCTGTTTTGAGACAGCTTTTAGAGGTCAAACTTAAAAATGAAAAAATGAAAATGTCTCAAAAACCTGATGAGCTACAAAAAAAGTAAAGACATTCTTTAAATCTGCATCTGAAATACATTAATGAAAGCAGAATGCGATCTCTGATTAAAATTTCCTGTTGACTAGGGTTATATCAATTTGGGATCACAATATAAAGTTAAAAAAAACTGCTTGTGATTAAATAAAAAACTTGCAAGTTCTGTAAGTCAAGATATCACCTTACTATTTATTTTTGTATCATGCTAATTTGTGTCCATGGAACAGGTTTAACAGGAATGGGTGTAACGTGCACAAAATACGACGTCTAGTGCTCCATAGTAATCATAATCCTATGAATTTTTAATGAAATCCAGGATCGTCTTTGGGAAACCTCCATTTTTAGCTTGTAGTCCAATGAAAAGCAAGAGATAAATTATCCCAACAAAATATAAATACTTCATTGTTACAGCGGTGCATTACATACGAAGGTTAAGAAAAATATGAAATCATTTAGCCCTGTACTGTATTATGTCTCATGTGCACTACAATTACATTTTATCATTATGACCTCTGTCAAGCATGAAGGCAAAAGGCATGGCTAACAAAGAAAATAATATACAGTGCTAATTGACTTTACCCTTTGAGACATGCTGCAAGTATATTAAGGCAAAGGCAACTTTATTTACATTTCAGTGACTCACTATGTAATATGGGATTTCTTTATTTGGATGTAATGATTCAAATAGTACAGTAATTTAAGTAATATAACATGATAAGAATGCTGTTCATTAAGTTTTTTATTTTTTAGCTTATTATCATTTCATCTACCAGACAAAACAATTCATTCATGTGGTCAAACATTCAATGGATGCTACAGAAATGTACTGACATTAATGGAGCAACATCAAATATGTCATCATTGTAATCAATACATGTAAATGTGTCTTTAGCTAAATCAGACAACGTATTTGATCTATAAAAATCCCCAGTTGCACATAAAATATTTCACATGACAAGTTATGGTGAAGATGAGCGGCTCTGACCTCGGACGACCCTTCCACCAGATATTTATTTACATCCAAGATGGAGCTGACAATCCTTAATTGATTTTACATTAAAAGATGATTGCAGGAGACATTAACTTGTGTTCCAACATGCAGCTATTGCACAGTCCCTAGCACCAGTCACCAGTAGTCATGTTGAGATGTTTCTATGGCAAGTTGAGCAAATTGTTTTTAGCATAAAGTTCTTCCGTAATCTGGTACACTTCCGAAATGAGAGGAACGGCTTCTCCCAGAACAGCTACCACTTTCTCGGGGGGGCCCACATTCATGACCTCAAAGAAGGCGGGGCGACCGGGTAGCACGCAGAAGGCCAAGCCCGCCGCCTTGCGCACCACCCACGGGTGGTAGTGCGCGAGGGACTCGTTGTAGGCGTCGGCACACATGACGGACGTCTTACTATCCTCACTGCTGATCCTCAGCCGCTCCAGAAAGAGTTCCAGCCACCTGAGTGCGCGATGCAGCCTCAGGAGGGTACGAGTGCCCGATTCAGGATGGCTTCCTCGCTTGTCGATGTCCACCAGGCTGTTGTCCAGCTCGTATCGGACCATGGACTGCACGGTCATGTAGTGAGAGTGCGTATCTTCTTTGAGCAAATTCACCAAGATCTGGATCTTATTGATGGCATCCTTGGAAATGAAGCTAAAGACGGACCCTAAGCTGTTTAAAAACCTGGCAAAAGCATGCATGAACAAGTTGTGTTTTCAATGTCGTCAACATGCAAGTTGGACTCAATTTTTTTTCAATGAATTTTTGAACAAGGAAGCAATTGCCTGTAATATTCTCAGTTTCTGAAAGGCATTTAATGGCTTGTTGCAGCAATCCTTAAACAAACGTCTGTTGATCATTTGGTACCAGATCGCAAGGGGAAAAAAATGTGGTTAAAAGTTTTTTTTTTTTCCTTCATTGGTATTGCGGGGCTTTTATTTTGAAAAACGACTCCCTCCCCTGATGCCTCACAACGACTCTGGCACACCATTTCTTACAGTGGCACAAGCTAACCTTCGAAGGAGAAAAATATTTGTCAAAAACGTGAACATGAAGGACAAAAACAGTTATGGAGAGCCACACATCAACAAACTGCGCCAAAGGCATCATTCTGAGCCACGTACAACACTGCTAAAGAAAAGGGCCTTTACTTTTGGGGATTATTGATTCTGTCTGCTACTAAGGACATTTGTAGTAAACCTTTGGAAAGGGCAGCAGGGGAAAATGTAGCAGATGTCGCTCTTTCAGCTTACACCATAACAAGAAGAATTGATGAAAAAGCATAGGCTGGTGAAGCGCAGTTTATGAGTAGATAAATGGGTCACAACTCCGGTGGAGGAATCTACTGATGTTGACAACAAGGCAGTCGTGCTCGGCATAACCCTGTCGCAACACAAGATCACTTTGAACAGTACCGCTTCATGATATAGTAACGCTTATTTTTTTTTTCCTGAGGCCCAAAGTGGATCCAGAGACAGCTAATTTTTATTGATCATATTTATCATGTATCACTGTCATTGATCATGACTCAATTGAAATTGGAAATGACCAAAAATGTCACCTGAGTTTAACGGTGTTCGGTAAAATGAGCTTAGTTATTTACTGCATCAAACACATACCCTTAAAGTTAATTTCACATCTGTTTGAGCAGCTCGTCTGCCTTAAAGTGAGTTACAGAATCATTGTGATTCTTTCAGATTACATGCGCTGGTGTGACAACAATTTTGCTCATGGAACCTCCGCACCTCTACCCAGTCAGTGAAAGCTTTTCATGAATGAAAACTGGCACCAAATACAAAAAAAAAGTTGAGAAGCATCCCTGATTTACTGCCCCGCAATGGTCCAGAAAGAATGAAGCAATTATTCATTTTAAGAAGTCGAGATACCATCTGCTGAAAATGGAGAACAATAAAATTTTAATTTTAGACGTGGAAGCGTCCATTGCTCATAGTAGAATGATGTTTGGTGAAAATTAAATGTAGTTAAAGAAGCTAAAAATGTACTAAAAACCTTTAATAACTACATTAATCAATCATTCCCATTATTAACTAAAATTCCATCGTGGCCAAATATAGCCCTCTCTCGCACCCTCACAAAACTAGAGAGTAAAATAAAACAAGACCTGAGGGTTTATACTTACTTTATCAGACCCCGCCAGCCAGACACATAGTTTTCCAGAATGACAGCTTTGTCTTCAGACAGACACACCTTGAAAGTGCTCAGAACCTCCTCAAAACAAAACTTCGGATCATCTGACGCCACCGAATCAGCCATTGTGGGTCGGAGGAACTGTCCTGTCAGGTGTTTCCCAACCTTTATTGAAACGGGACATCCATTAACAGTGGGAAAATCTTATGGCACACCACCAAACAAAAATGTCACTGACTAGTGTGAAACATGGGCCTGACGAACTGAACACAAAGCTGATATACAGTGAAACTCCTTTACAACGAAACCTACATGGGCGAAAATACCCCCTCATGTGAAAAAAATCTTCATGCATTAACACCATTCCCACTTTTTCTGCCCCCCATACAACGAAAAAAAACCCTGTTGCGTTATACGAAATCTTTTTTTTCTGCTCTTGCCTCGCGACAAGATTCACTACAACGAAGTCTAATCCAACAGCGACCTCTACTGCTTTGTTTGGAAATGGCAACAGCAACCACCACACTGGTTTACACATGCGCAGTAGTCCAGGAAGTACAAGTATTTGTTATTGTTAGTTTCAGACGCAGCGAGAACGTTGCATTGCTCAAATGGCTACAAAACGGACCTTTGGATGTCAAGCAGCTCAGACAAGAAGAGCTCTGACGCTGGAAGAGAGGGTAAAAGTGATCAAAATGAAAGCCGAAGGAAGCAAAATAAAAGACATTATCAAATAAACTGATGTAAGTGAAAGTGAATGCTCATCGTAAATTTTGCAATTTCTTTCCCTTTTTTTCTTTCTACACTGACCATATGAAGTGTCAAATAAGTGTATGCTCATACTTATGCACTATTGGAATAAAAATAAAGAGTACACTTACGTTTGTGTGTGTGTGTGTGTGTGTGTGTGTGTGTGTGTGTGTGTGTGTGTATACTACATCTGAGATCAAATTTGCTACAGTGAAATACCCACTGTTGTGAAAAAATTTCTTGCTGCACACATGATTTCGTTGTAGAGGAGTTTCACTGTACAGTACTCACGCATGACTTTTGTACAAAGCATTTACATTTTTCATTTAATTATCTGTCACTATACGTCACTGGCATTGACAGATAAACAAATATATGTTTGACTGCATGATTTTCAGACAAATTAAGTAAAAATTGATCATTTCCCGTGACACTCCTGTTGATCCCTCACGGCACACTATATCCCATGTCACCACTTTGACTCGTCGCGCGCACACATGTTGAGCCAAAATGATTGCAAAGGACCAATTCAAAAAGCAGAAATTCAACAGCGTCGTCAGTCAAACACAATATCATGTTTGGCAGCAGCAAACCGGGTTGTGCTACGTAAACAGAATTCTATATATTGCATAGTTCCTCAAGGCTTACCCATCATACATATACGTTATTAAATTGTGGATATGTATTAGGTTACATTACATTACAACACAACGACGTAAAACATTACCTGCCAAACGGAATTGAAGCTTTTTTTCCGGGTCGCTTTCCAAATGCGCAGACTCACGCCGTATGACACCGGAAATTAAATCGTTTTAAAATAAAAGAAAGTCATCAACGTACAGTCTGTTGAACGTAGAACGGGATACGGAAGGACATGATTTGTCATTTCTAAAAATATGTTAGGTGTGAAGACATAATTTATGCATTAATTTCCGTATTTTATACGATCACCACAACATTTGAACGTTACTTACAGCGATTTAATATTATAGTACATCTTATTTTGAAATCAAGCCCGGAATCTGCTACTTTACCAGTGTCTTTGAACAATTGACTCTATGAGAGCGAAATCCATAAAATTGCACAAATTTACAGTACTAAAACAAGAAGCAATTCACTTGAAATGACTACGTGTTTGTAATCAGAAGTTCGGATCGCTTTCGTAATTTAGCTTCAAAGAAAAGGGCAATAAAATGCCCGAAATAAAAGTAACACCGCTGGGTGAGTTCACTTGCTAGCTAGCATCAGCACGTTTTGTCAGAATTCGACATTTAAATACAACATATTCATTTCTTAATGGTTAGTTAAAGTAAAATTTAGGATGATCTTAATCTGCTGTAGTAGTTTCAAATATCTGGAAGTTTTGGCTCGTGGATATTCAGCAGAAGTTTTTTAGCCGGGATGCTAACAACACGAATTCTGTCATGTCTTATTATTATTTGTTGTGACGTCCTTCTTGTTTGTCTTGTGTTTCTGCAAGGTGCTGGACAAGATGTTGGACGCAGCTGCATCATCGTCTCCATCGGAGGCAAAAACATCATGCTGGATTGCGGCATGCACATGGGATACAATGACGATGTGAGTTTACTTTGCCAAAACAATTTGGACTCTGCCGACGGCATGCTTTATGTACAGTACATGATATCCACACGTTACAGCTAAAATCCCATTCTTTTTTCTTTTTTTGTGGTGGGGGGTGTTGTTCAGCAGACAGCAAAATAAAATTCTTCCATTTCTGTAAGAATCGAAAACAAAAATTCTCTGAATAAAGGCAGAGCTTTTTGTTGAACTACGTTGTTCCTCAACATTTAACTTTCGATCAGACAATTGTTATAGGGCCTGGTAACAACTGATTTGTCTATATCTATACCTTAAGATCCCCATGTTGCATTCCCTTTGTAGAAAGTAACCCTACATTGTCATTTCCAGAGACGCTTCCCAGACTTCTCGTACATCGTTCAGAATGGGAGGTTGACAGACTTTTTGGATTGTGTCATCATCAGGTTGGTTTCAACAGCAAGAATATCTTTATCACCCGCAAACAGCCTATAAAAAGACGTTTCTGCTCTTGGCAGCCATTTCCACTTGGACCACTGTGGCGCTCTGCCCTACATGAGCGAGATGGTGGGATATGACGGGCCCATCTACATGACGCATCCTACCAAGGCCATCTGCCCCATCCTGTTGGAGGACTTCCGCAAGATTACAGTAGACAAGAAGGGAGAGACCAACTTCTTCACCTCACAGATGATCAAGGACTGCATGAAGAAAGTCATCCCACTGAACCTGCACCAGACTGTCCAGGTGTGCTCTTAATGTCTGACCTATTAGAACCCTGCTACGTCATCTGTCAATCATCTTTTTTAATTGAGATGTGTGCGTGTGTCTGTTCAGGTGGATGATGAATTGGAGATTAAGGCATACTACGCTGGCCATGTTCTGGGCGCTGCCATGGTGCACATCAAAGTAGGCTCGGAGTCGGTGGTCTACACTGTGAGTCAGAACTTTCAATAGAAAAGAGCTTGCATTTATTTACAGTGAAACACCGCCATCACCGTTTGCTTTTCACCAATATACCTATTCACATTTCAAGCACTCAAAGATTCAACAAGTAGAAACTGGTGTCAACCAAACAAAGTAAATTGTGTTATTTCTATGTGTTACATCTTTGTCTTCAAAGTTATTGTTCTCAACCCTTGCTTGGAACCATAATTTAGATACCTTACCGTTGTTTTACACTCGACTTTGAAATGTTCACTCTCGTTTGAACCACTAACTTAACACTTTAACCCTTGCTTCAAATTTGAAATCTTGTCTTGAAACCTTAACGTGAAGCATCAGCTCGGAGTAACTGCTACTGTCTTGTCTCATTTAGGGCGACTACAACATGACACCAGACAGACATTTGGGGTAAGTTATCTGCTTTAGTTTTGCCTTACTCTGTCCACTCAACAGAAATAGCTTTGAAAGCATTTACGAGCAAGCTAAGGCGAACTGAAATGTTGGTTGTGGGTTCATCAGAATTAAACTCAACATATACACCACATCTCTATTGTTGTTTTATTGGTTTAAGTCAGACAACTTAGCGTTGATGCCTTCGTTGTTTGTATTGCATGTTGGCAGTGCCGCTTGGATCGACAAGTGCCGTCCAGACATTCTCATCTCAGAGTCAACTTATGCCACCACCATACGGGACTCCAAGAGGTGCAGAGAGAGAGATTTCCTGAAGAAAGTTCACGAATCCATAGAACGAGGAGGAAAGGTATTCCTCAACACACATGTGGACCTTTTGTGTTTGGACATTTTTTTTTACAAGCTTCTACAAACTCAATATTATTTTTGTCCAGGTTCTCATCCCGGTGTTTGCCCTTGGAAGAGCCCAAGAACTTTGCATTCTTTTGGAAACATTTTGGTAAATTGCACTAAGAGAAAAAGAACTTCTGGGTCTGGGGGAGGACACGATCATTTTATGTTTATATGTTAATTAGCTTCCATTGACAGGGAGAGAATGAACTTGAAGGCTCCCATTTACTTCTCCACGGGGCTGACTGAGAAAGCCAATCATTATTACAAGCTGTTCATCACGTGGACCAACCAGAAGATCAGGAAAACATTTGTGCAGAGGAACATGTTTGAATTCAAGCACATCAAAGCCTTTGACCGCTCGTATGCCGACAACCCAGGACCAATGGTGAGTGTTTTTTTTTTTTCCCCCTCACTTTCAAGCGTTGTCTGCTTACTGAAAACAATGGAGAAGTTGAAGCAGTATGGACAAATTGACAGGTGGTGTTTGCAACGCCAGGAATGCTGCACGCCGGACAGTCGTTGCAGATCTTCAAGAAATGGGCTGGCAATGAGAAGAACATGGTGGGGGTCTTTAAGAAATTAAACTAAAATCGGACATGATCCAGTGACAACAGTTGATGTATTAAGACATCTTCTGACCTCTGCAGGTCATCATGCCAGGCTACTGCGTACAAGGAACAATTGGACACAAGATCCTGAATGGACAGAGGAAATTGGAGATGGAGGGCAGAGCAACCGTAAGTTTGATGTCTGTGTTCCATATCAGTGGATAGGACATGCGTGCCCCCTCGCCCACCTACATGGACTCTTGAATGTTAAGTGCATAAAGCAGCACAATTGGCGTAATACTGCCGTGAGTTGGTAAATGTAATTCTAATCTGGCCAGCGTAGCAAGCCACGGCACACCATCAAAAAGCCACTGCAGTTGAAAGGCACAACTCGAACACAATGTCCTCATTCATGCTGTGAAAAGAAGTGCCGCTGAACTCTCTGTCTAAAACAGAACAAGCCAGTGAATAATCACCATGTATACCGGTCGCGAATTTTCTTGCTCATACTGCACCAAATACAAAAGATGAATTGGCTCTAGAACTGTTTTGGGTACAGATTAATGTGCTCATATGCAGGTTGTAGCGGAGTGAGGTTGGCTCACAACTGAGTCAATTTGCTCTGTTGACACGTTTTCCCACTGAATTGCGAGAAGAAAAAAAAAAACGAAATGGGCCATCCTTTCCTAATGACTCAGCAGGAATTTAAATAATTTAATCTTGTTTGTGAGCTACAGTACTGCAAAGACCGCTTTGAGATAATATTTTAGGCTGAGCAGGGAGCAGTTCTTCTTCAACACATCACTGTATGCCATCTCTTGTGTGTCCCCAAAGCTTGGGACACTGAGAGACACCGCATTTATTAAGGCTTCCTCCATTATCCTCATGCTGTTAAGTCTGCCAAAATAGCACGAAATCATTCCTTCAGCTCCACTCCTATTGAAGATGTTTGTCTGATGTCAAGTCGAATTTTTTTTTTCAATTTGAGGCACCTTGCCGTGGCAGCAGAAGTCCTGTGGTGCCGGGACCTCACGATATGCACAATGAATGGGTCCATCGAAGGGACACTGCGTCCTACTAAGTGCAGTGTGAAAAGCCAAGTTGGCATCTGTCAAGCTGAACATTACTGAAGTGTTTGACTAAAAAGTGTTGCTGTACATTAGCAACAGCTCTAAGTCTGATGCAGCCCAGTAAAACACCACTGCTAAGAAAAACCACAATGTAACTTTCCGGTGACATGTGATATTAACCTGAACTTGACTGAATACCTCATTGCGATGCTCGTAGTTGGACGTGAAGCTGCAGGTGGAGTACATGTCCTTCAGCGCCCACGCCGACGCCAAGGGCATCATGCAGCTCATCCGCATGGCTGAACCTCGCAACATGCTGCTGGTGCACGGCGAAGCCGTCAAGATGGAGTTCCTCAAGGGCAAGATCGAGCAGGAGTTCAGTTAGTGGATATCGTACGATTGACATGTTTGGTTGCCTTTCAGCCTCAACGTGAAGTGTACGATGTCTGCTGTGCCACGGCAGGTATCGACTGCTACATGCCGGCTAACGGTGAGACAACAACAGTGACGACAAATCCCAAAGTTCCAGTTGATATGTCACTGAACCTTCTCAAGAGGGAAATGGCACTAGGCGGTGAGTCGTACTATATTAATCGAAGATGCAGTGTAGTTGTCTTTTTTTTTAAACTTTTCGGCCCTGATTCATTTGATTTTAGGTTGAAAGTCAACTTTGTTAATTATTCGGTTGGATGACCAAATGTCTTTCTGATTGATATCGTCTGCTTTTGCCGATGCACCCTTTTGTGAAATAAGTGTTGCAAAAAGTCAAAGAAAACTGAACTATGCAGATGGGACACTGGCATTTTTTTTCCTGGAAAGTGTATGTGTGTGCATTTACTAAACACAGACCACATCTACATTTCTGTGTGTTTGTAACAATACTTGACATCTAAACATTACATAACCAAAACCGGAGCCTCTTTTTCACTTTTGACCAGACAATCAATGTTCACTTCCAAGGTGCTCATCAGCTGTGTATTGTGTTGTTTCAGGGCCTTTACCTGATCCCAAAAAACCCCGCATCATGCATGGAACCCTCATCATGAAAGATAATGTAAGTTTAAATATAGACCACCGCAGCAGAATGACCATCCATCCATTTTCTAATCCTCTTATCCTGATGAGGTTCGCGGGCATGCTGGAGACTATCGGGGGGGGGAACCCTGAACCGGTTGCCAGCCAATCGCAAGGCACACATAGACGAAAAACCATTCACGCTAACAGTCACACCCGGGGACACTTTAGAGTGTTCCAATTACCTGCCATGCATGTTTTTGGAATGTGGGAGGAAACCGGAGTACCCGGAGAAAACCCACGCAGGCCCGGGGAAAACATGCTAGTCGACAACCGTGCCGCCCACATCATGACCATGGACACAATATGATAATATCCAGTATGAAAGCTGTAGCAAATGACTGTAGAAAAATACTGATGGTCAGTCAGAGTGGCATTGTTTATTATTGTGTTTGTGGTATACACTGTACTACACTAGAACTTTACTACATCATTAGGGATCAGTACCGAGTCCAGTACTGAACTGGCCCTGCGGCAGAATTTTAAAAATTGCAGTATTGAGCTCTGTCAGAAAAATCTGAATACATTTTTTCCCTAAAATCATTCAGCCCTAAGGTGGACACAAATTGTCATTCAAAACGCAAATTAATATTTTAGTAAAGACACAATATTTCACACACCCCTTTGAGCGGCAATCATTACAGTGCGAGAGTGGTCCTTTCTGTGACAATGTTATGTTTCACCGGGCACAGAGTCTCAAACTGGTGTCATCGGAGCAAGCCCTGAAGGAGCTCGGACTCAACGAGCATCAGCTCCGATTCACGTGTCGCGTGCAGCTCCACGACCCGCACAGTGACCCTGACACGCTTCGAAGAATATACACGCACCTCAAGAGGTCAGTGAGGAAGTTTCTGGAACTGCTCCGCCACGAGTTGCTTTCAGGGCCGTATGTTCTGTGTCTGGAGGCAAAGAACTCTTTTGCTGTTGAATTCAAACAGCCCCAAGATGCATGTTTGCTGTCAGAATTTGGAACTTAGCTTTATACATTCACTTATGGCTCTTGAATACAAATTTGCACTTTTCCAAGACCGCGTTTCCCAGTGCCTCCTTTTTTGTCTTCTCTAGAATATATTTGTTTGTTAAAAGGGACAGTTTTCATTCATCAACATATATTGGCTCTTGAATACAAATTTGCACTTTTCCAAGACCACGTCTTCTCTATAATATATTTGTTTGTTAAAAGAGACAGTTTTCATTCATCAACATTTATCAAATGTAAATTGAACAAAATGGCTCATTCTCATGAATTAATCCCCTTGACAGAGTTTTTGATATGAAACGAGCAGATGGAAGACATGATAATACACCAATAAAAGTATTTAGAACACATACAGAACCTGATGGGTTGAGTACAAAAATTATTTTTGATGTTATTGGTTCGGCATTGTGCTTGAAAGATAAGGATGATAGCAAGCCCTGAATTTCCTGTGTAACTGTACTCTCCTGATTTGATGCTCAAATGGAAGCTACTACCCGACTAAAGGCATTTTTTCTTTCCTTCTGGAATCAAAAATAATCAGTTCCAGAGTCAGTAAGAATCTGGTTGACATCTTCTCAGTGCAAAAAATGTGGTTTTAAAGTTATCAGTTATAAATTCGCGGCAGAGTTTTTTGATGATTTTTTTTCTCAAGTCTTTTTTTTCCCCATCCGTATATGTGAGATTCAATTAAAAAACCCACCAGGGATAGACTGGCCATAGAGGTCAGATGCCCAGTGAGCTGGCACCTTTTGGGCCGATACGGTGCTATTTAGTTCTTATTTTCTTCCGTTTTTCTCCAAGGGTCCAGTCCACAATTTAGAGGGAGCAGCCCATTTATCCATTTCCAATATCGACAGCAAACTGAGCCAATCAACATCAGTGGCAGAGAGCGATTTGGTAGCCAGGGGTTGTCTGGGGTCATGTCTGAATATAATTTTTCTATGAATATGTCTTTGAATAGAACGTTTGAGTCTTACAGTCAATTCTATCCATTACATTCACACCGTAGCAAGGAAACAACATGGCTGGGAAGTCACTGTTTATCTTACATTCCACAGCGTGCCATTCCAGGCCTGAATAGCAGACTGTGTTCATCTTTTTCCTCACTGCAGTGTCTTAAAGGGGTACGCCATCCAGCACCTTCCCGATGGTACTGTCATGGTGGAGTCCATCGTCATCAAAGTGTCATCTTCACCAGAGGAAGCTAACACAAAGGTCATCCTGCTTTCCTGGAGTTATCAGGTAAACTGCAGCCCATGATAGTGGCAAGACTGACAAGAGCGGCAAGGCTTTGACAGTAGCGCCTTTCACACTGACCACTTAAGCCGCCGTTTTCTACCCGCTTGCTGTCCTGTGTGTAAATCAAGCAACACGTACTGATTTTGAAAATACAAGATACCACCCACGATAAGGAAAACCATCGCCGTGTGTGCATACTGCTCGTCGTGTGTGTTGTGCTGGAAATTACCAACAAACACCACTTACATAAAAATGTTTGTCTTAGTACTAAGACTGGTAAGACGCTTAAAATAAGTACCCATTCGGAATGGGGGTTTGAAGGCAACCTGCGAATGTGCTTGCTCTGCGGCATAGTAGCAACAGCGAATGAAGTTGGAACACCCGAGACTCACTGCGAGATGGCGCTCCTTTGTGTTGAAAGCAATTGGCCGTTGTCCCAAATGTGATGTGAAAGTTGTGTGACCACACAGCAGACACAGCAATGTCCCACGGTGAGTTTTGTCAACCGGACAAACAAATAAACGCTGACTCTACCATCCTGCATGACAATTTGGTTGAAAGTCATTGTGATGGTGCATCCAGTATGTGGCTTTGTGTATTGCAAGCAATTTTAGTCATTTATTATGATTCAGGAGAATCATCTATTTTATGCCTTAGTCTTACCTTTAAATTTTGTTTCCATCAGGATGAAGACCTTGGTAGCTTCCTTTCAACTCTGCTGAAAAAAGGGCTCCCATCTGGACTTTGATTGAATGACTAATGAGGGGTGTGGCGCTTTTTTGGTTTAATTTAAAGAACTGGTGGGCCACAAATGACTACTGGTAAGTTAAACTGTGTACAGATAATTATATGATTTGTCAATGTTTCACAACTTCAACATAATTTTAGTTGGCAAGCTATAGAAATGCTCAGATTCTTTGTTTCCTAGTCATGTGCAGCTTTCTTTTACGAGGCAGAATGTGTCCGCCACAATTACATGTTTTTGTCACGCTCATTATGTTATTTTGATGGAACACAGGAGAGAGTGGATAAAGAGGAGAGGCAACAGTCCTATATCATGATGTTCATTTATACCCATTAATTCATAACCTGTTGGTCAGAAATTGAAAGAAGCATTGTTTTGAATCACTGTTGCGACAGTCGGTTTTTATTTACCTCTACTGTATTTATTGCCAATCTGTAACTTACCAACTTTGGTTTTGCTTTCTTTTCTAACTCTGTCGCACTTGGAGATTCTCAAATAAAAAGTGCATTACCAAATTAAATGTATTAAATGTAGATGACACGCATATCTTGAAGACATTTTTGATGTAGAAATAAAACAAAGTGAACGTTTTTTAAATGGAAAAAAAAAACTTTTACTGTGTGTGAATCAAGAATAAACAGGCATGGTGTTTTGGGACGGACCCCTTGCCGGAAATGAAAAGCCCATGGACATAAAAGGGGGAAGAACTCGTAGTGTGGCCCCAATCCTCTCCTGAGTTCAACCCTGTTCAGAACTTTTGGAGCATCCTGAAGCAAAGAGCTGTAAGGGTGGGAGGCAGTTCACTTCCAAAAGGCAGCATGGGGAGGCTTTTCTGATGTACTGCAAATAAATTCACGCGAAGAATCTGCAAAACAAGTTCAATGGGTGCAAGACTTGTAAAGCCGCTATCAAATAAGAGGTCCTATGGCCAAATGTAACTAGGCCTATTTAGATGTTTTTGGGTGAAATGGCTTTTTATTTCAGCAAAAACGACCTCCTAATGCTGCGAATTCAACAATTTTTTTACAACCCATAATATTGAAACACTGCTGTGCATCATGATTTTTATTTTTGAAAAAACAAAATAGTTGCCATTGGGAGGTTTGTTCAAAAACATTCAATTTATTGTAGAACAGTTTGATGACTTGAAAATGATGCTGAGTACCATTTACATGACATTACAGTATTTAGAAAAATCATAAACTCATTTGCATAATAATTTGGACCATGGCTGATATTTAATCGTAAAACAGCTTGTCAGTGGGTCACTGAAAGAGTTGTGGTGCATCCTGGATGGTCTGTGGCCGGGGCTCCTTGAGATGTGTTTTTGCCATGTGGATGTGCCCAGCTTCAGGTTTCTTTGGTCATTATGATATTACATGACATTACATACATAACATCATTAACAACATTATTCAACTATGTTTTTCAACGATATTACATGACATTCAAATTATGAAAGGTGTTTCTATCGTTTTAATTTACCCATGCTGGCTCATTTTTACAGTGTTTAGAATAAGCACACAAAGCAACTGTCTGACGGTGCCACTAGGTTAAAATATCATTCACTTTAATTAAAAAAAAAAGGCAATCATATAACAGCAGTGTTAATCAACTCCTTAACATTCATCAGATTTTTTTATAAAACAAAATGCAGAAGTGCTGCATGCATAGCAACAGAGGACAGCCATATGTAAACATCAATATACTGTACATAATCTATGTATAGACATCTATGGAGACGAAGCTACCCATCAGATGTGACGTCTAGCGCCCCACCCTGGTCCTATCTCTTGTGCTGTCAAGGATCTACTGCACATCACACACGTCAAACTTGTAAGGAGAGTCACGGGTAAAAATTCCTGCACCCCAGACAACAAAAATGGGAGAGGTAATTGAACTCATCATTAATGTACCGTATATATACTATTCATCCTGCTCATCTAAAAATGCTGTATTTTCCACACTATATAGGCGCACCTAAAAGCATTAAATTTCCTCAAAAGCTGACAGTGCACCTTATAATCCGATGCGCCTTGGATGGCTCAATATTCTGATTTCTTAGACATAGTATTTTAAATGTTTTGTAAATTGCTTTGTTCCAGCTGCAGCGGTTGTAAAAGTGCTACATAAACAAAGGTGTATTGTATTGTATTCCCTTTAGCATAGCATCATCTAATGGATGCATAGCGCATCTAATGGATGCATAGCGCAACCGCAGCCACTAGTGTAGCTGCTATTCTATGCGCATTATAAAACGGTATATATGAAAACAGTTTTAAAATATGCCATTCACTGAAGTTGCGCCTTATACTCCAAAGCGCCTTACAGTGTGGAAAATACGGTATATTAATATTTTGAATCAGTTTTATTTCAATATTTTTTATTGTCTTCAAGGAAAATAATACGGTGATGACCGTGCGAGCTACCACTGACTGCACCGTCTTTCCGCACTGTGATAGTATAAACAGCTCGACGCCTCCGGACTCTATACCAAGTCCTCTTTAGGGCCTTACATGTGCAGTGACTGGTGGTAACGTAGTAGAGCAGAGGGTCCAGGCATGTGTTGAGGATGACGAGGGCCATGGTGACCCGCCTGGCGTTATAGATGCCGTTGGCCAGCGGGCACCTCTGGATGACCCCCATGCGACGAAGCAAGTGTAGCAGATACACGACGTGGTTGGGTAGGAAGCAAATCAGTGTGATGGCCAGGATGGTGTAGATGACCCTCAAAGCTCGCCCGGCCGTCTTGGTGTGGATCCTGGAAATGCGCCTGGCAGCCAGCGGGTAGCACACCAGGATGATGGCAGAGGGCAGTAGGCAGCAGAAGATAAGGCTCAGGACGCTGTAGGGCAACAGACGCGAGCTCCATTCATGGGCGGCGAAATTCTCGAAGCAGCTGTGGCTCCCTGATTTGGTACCGTTTGTCTGCAGAGGTCCCATGAGTATGAAGACCACCACGGCCACTCCTGCGATGCCCCAGAGGATGCCGCTGGTGAGCAGTGAGTACCGCAGCCTCTTCAGCTTCAAATAAGCATGTAAATGCACTGTGGCTATATAGCGGTCCACACAGATGCACGTCATGAAACAAATGCTCATGTAGGTGTTAGCATAGAAAAGGATCCCCGTGATTCGGCAGGCGACGTCGCCAAACACCCAGTCATTCCCATTGAGGTGGTAGTGGACCCGGAAGGGAAGCGTGCACAGGATGACGACATCTGCCAGGGCCAGGTTGCTGATGTACACGCTGAAGGCGGTGCGGGGGTTGACCCTGAGGGTGAACACATAGATGGCAGCCAGGTTTCCAGGGAGACCAAAGACCAGGGCAAAGATGTAGACGGCTGGGAACAAGTAGACCTGGTACTCTGCTGGAGGGACATGACACTCTCCTGCTGTTTGGTTGCTCATTGCTGACTTGATGGTGACCTGCTAAAAAGAGCGAATGCTCAGACAGACATTGCGGAAAACATGGATGTTGGCTTTCTGAAACGCATTTAGATTACAGCGTTGCTTCGAGAGACGAGTTTAATTTGTTCCGTGACCACTCTGAAAACAAAAGACTTAGGTCTAAAATTCTCATCCCCCATTTAACTGAAATCAAATGCCATTAATTCATTCATTCATTCATTTTCCGAACCGCTTGATCCTCACCAGGGTCGCGGGGGGTGCTGGAGCCTATCCCAGCCGTCTTCGGGCAGTAGGCGGGGGACACCCTGAATCGGTTGCCAGCCAATCGCAGGGCACACAGAGACGAACAACCATCCACGCTCACATTCACACCTAGGGACAATTTAGAGCATTCAATCAGCCTACCATGCATGTTTTTGGAATGTGAGAGGAAACCGGAGTACCCAGAGAAAACCCACGCAGGCCCGGGGAGAACATGCAAACTCCACACAGGGAGGCCGGAGCTGGATTCGAACCCGGTACCTCTGCACTGTGAAGTCGACGTGCTAACCACTGGACTACCGGGCCGCCCTGCCATTAATTCACTTAACATATTTGAATACAATGGAAAGAAACTTTTTTTTTCCATTCAGTGGACATTGTACTGCTCCTTGTCCACCAGTGGTCAGTATAATACAGATAGAGAAGTATGTGGAAATGTCTCAGCTCCTCAGTAACCCACAGTAATATTAGCCATTCCTCTTTCCGGATAAAGATGTCTGTCTGTGAGTATTGCTAGATTTACTGTTTGCGCGTGCTGCGCCACCATTTTTGTTCAAATGTCTTTTGTTTAAAGGGTTATAATACCGCAATATCAATGCTATTCATTAGATTACATGTAGTCTCTCTTTCTCCTCTCTAGCTTACAGCACTCATATCTGTCATGGCATAAATAAATAAATAAAGGGCATTAGGTGGGGTACAAAGAAGATATTTAGTTGACAATACACGGGTGGTATGGTTACATTAGCATGTGGTAGCTTCACTTATTTATTTGTTGTTGGGATGCAGAAGGTTAATCACCTCATAATCTGGAGGAGTTCACAGTCACGAGATGTCTTAAATTTGTTGATTGCTGTTTGTATGAGTCAGAACATCTCCCCCATTTTTTTTTTTTTTGTCATGCGCTGCAGCAACTTGTTTGTATTTTTATGTGTACATTTACAAGCCAGGGGGTCAGCTATACCCTCATTATGAAAAGTTCTCACATCTCTTTCAATGGTTTGTCAAGATTTCCAGATGGATGTGGCGGTTTATGTACATTTCAAATAATTTCTAGATCTTAAAACATTGTTTTATATATGGTGCAAACAACACTACAACATTTGCAAGAAGATAATCAATCAATGTGAATATTTTCCAAATGTACTTGTCATTATTTTCACCCAAAAAAAGGGAGGGGAATTTGAAATTGTCATTATTGATAGCGTATTAGATCCCCTGAACTAAAACATGTTCGACACCCCTGTGCTCAATGATCATTCAACATTTACTGCGTGCTGTAGAATCTGAATTCATGAGTGAATACTTCATCTCAAAAGCATTTTGTGGGTCAACGTTACCTGATCTCCTTTAAGAAGCCTCGTCTTGATTCTTCACTCGCAGACAAGCTACAATTCAAATGCGTTTTAATGCTCTTCAACTGTGTCACTGCGCTTTCTTGAGCTCTCTTTAATTTCCTGTTGCATTGTGCTGTAGGCGGAAAAGAAAGACAAGGGCAGGAAATGTGGGGCTACGGTAGCTACATAGAGGAAAGTCACCTGCTGTTGTGGTACATCATTTGGACTGTTATCTGCATTAACTTTTTTCTTCTATTTTACTTCTGAAATGCAACATCCACACAGTTAAGGTTCACCGTTATCTTTACAATCAAAATTGGTGGTTTGGGGACAGAATTAGCCTAATGAATATATGTTTGTGAGGGCTGGGGGGAACACATCTCTCAACTCCCACGCTCCATTCTGTGACCTTTTTTCGTCACATTGACTTTCAGATTGTTTCTCCAAAAAAAAAAAAAAAAAAAAAACATTGGCTGAATAATCTTTTTTAGATGTGTTTCTAAAAACTCTTTTGGAATTTCTAATGCAGGAGTCTCCAAACCTTTTCTTCCAAGGGCCACATACAGAAAAATCGAAGGATGCAAGGGCCACGTTGATATTCTCCAACTTTATTAAACATGTTGAAACTAATCCATTAAGCAATTATGTATTATAGTTATTTTTAGCAGATTTTTTTGTAGTAAATGTGATCAGGCAAACACTTTGGAATTTTTCATGATTTCGGGGTGTCCCACAATGATAGAACCGCCACTGTCGTGAGCAGCTCTCGTCATTCTAATCTCGTAATCTGAAATAAGATGACAATTTTCACAGCAGTAATCACTTGAGGATCTTAATAAATCTTTAATATGATGTGTGAACAAATCAAACCTGGACAAAACAGCATAAAATGGAGGAAAACATATTTGCTTCTGAAAATGTTTATTTCAAATGTGTTTATTTAAAATCTTTATTCATGAGGCGTTATGAAGAGAAATGCTCTTACTACTTCAGTTGTAAATTGTTTCTTTGCATATCTAAAAAAAAAAAAAAACCCCAACAGAGCAAATTTTGTAGGAGTAGTTGTCACTGCATCGCACCCAGGGTGGCCGTGCGTGTCGCAACAATGCCACCATTTCAATACCCATACAAGCAATGTCAGAAATCATTTCTTTGATATGCTGCAGGGCTGTAAATGGCCCTCAGGCCGTTGTTTGGACACCCTTGCTTTCAGGTCATTATATTTTTGATTGGCTGGCGACCAGTACAGGCTGACTGTGATAGGGTCCAGTTACCCTCAACAATAATGAAGAGAAGCGTTTATAGAAAATGGAAGGAAGCAAGGAAGGAAGGAAGGGAGGAAGAGATTTTGATGCTCTTTCATCACATATGACGCCAGGCCAAGAGTGTAATTTTGAAAATTGTTTTATTTCAAATAGTGTATGTGACCTGGGGATTTGTAAAACAATGTTGGAGCTTCACTGAAGTTATTTTCAGAAGAGTTGGCAAGGAGTTTCGATGCCTGCTGAAGACACATGTTGCTTCAAGTACAGGACGAAAAGAGGCCAATCTGAAGGAATCATTGCAGCGGGAGGAAGACAAGAATGGCCGTTGTGTCACCTCCATCTGAATTCTTTATTCAACACCTTTCATGAACTCCAGGAATTCTGTTGGACAGAACACATGAATCAAACACTTCAACAACCCTGACACCCTTAGACCAGGGTTGGTATGGCATATGGTGAGGAATAAAAGTGATTTTATTTTTTTGTCGTGAATAAATAATACATTTGTTTTAGTCTGCGGCTATCAAAAAAACTGTTTATAATCTGTTATTTTGACATTGTGGCACTCGGCAGTGGCACAAAAATCCAGCATTCTATAGCGATGAGGACTTTATAAACACATTGTGGATGTCTTTTTAAAGAAGAAGAAGAATTAACACGTACCGTCATAATCAATTTTGCCGTCATTGTTTTTATCTCCATCCTTCATCAGCTCCTCAATGTCATCTTCAGTGATGGATTCTCCAGTGGACTCTAGCATGGCCTTAAGTTCCTCCAAATCTATGTAGCCGTCGCCATTCCTCAACACAGGACAAAGAGTTTTTCAGAAACGCTTTTGCTGGACTCAGAATGTGCAGCGTTGGGTGACATTGAAAAAGAGAGGCATACTTGTCAAACATTCGGAAAAGTTCAGCCAGCTCCTCTTCTGGTTTTCCTTTGCTCTCCTCCTTCATACAGCGGACCATCATGACCAAGAACTCATCAAAGTCAACTGTGCCACTGCCTGTTGATTGATAGATTTTTTTTTTTTAAAGATGGAGATTTTTATCGTCAGCGAGATGGTATAAAATCCATTCATCATCCAAATGTAATGTTCTTTTTTCAGTCCATCTACTATCTTTGTAGAGTCCACAGTACACTTTATTTGATAAGACCACAATGAAAATTGTGTATCACACTCAGCGCTGACCTACCATCTTCATCCACCTCATCAATCATCTCCTGCAGTTCTTCAGGCGTCGGATTTTGCCCCAGCATCCTCATCACCTTCCCCAGTTCCTTCGTACTGATGCAGCCGTCCTCTGCATCTTGGATGAAGATGTCAAAGGCAGCCTTGAACTCTGTGGGACACGCAGACATTGATAGTATCCGACAACACATTTTCTGTCTGTACAGCGACACTAAAAAAAAAAAAAAAAAACTGTTGAAGTTTGTGTTGAGAGTTGGCTGTGATTCATGTAATATTTGCTGCAGTGCAAATTTTCTTGTCCACAACCTTACCATGGAGGCTGAGGAATGGGATTCCTCCATAGTTGGAACATACTACCCCCGATCTGCCAATCCGGAGGCACTGTCCCTGATGTCCACGCGATGTTGTACAGGCGTGTCAACCAGGACAGCCCCACACCATCCAGAGCTCTCTGGGGAGATCTCATCCACTCCTGGGGCTTTGCCACTGAGGAGCTTTTTAACCACCTCGGTGACGTCAACCGCAGCAAGAGGAGAGCCCACCTCAGGTGGGGTGGAGGCCAATTTATTGGACAAATTATCATGTCATCTGGCTCCCCTTGATGCTCAACTCTGAGCCCATCTCGGGCGACCAAGCTCCTTACAGGGGATTTAAATCAGTACCTTATTACCAGAGTAGTTTTCTATAATTCTACTTAAGAGTGTGAGTACTTTTGATATACAGAATCTCGTCTTTCCCGGCCATATGTTGTCCAACGGACAGACTTGAGGCAAGAGATGGTGATGGCATGTTCTCTCAAGCACTCATAATTCTGGTTTTAAAATGGCAGATTTATGGAGCCCGACTAGCTCTCTTTGTCGCCTCAGAATACTGTAATCACATCAGAATAGGAAGATGCACTAATAAGCCACCTTTGCCCTTTGCTTTTGAAACAAAACTCAGCAAAGGCAAGGTGTTGCCACAACTGCTGTGCTTTTACAAAGCAAGCTTCCAGAATAAGACGTTTCGATGTATGATTGACGATGTCAGCACCTAAATCGACGTTGGCTATCAGTCAATCAAAGGGCACACATGGACAACCAACCATTCACACTCACATTCATAGTTATGGGCAATTAAGAGTTTTGTCACATTGTTAGATGCATGTTGAGTTGGAACTGTTCCAGGTGATGGGTGTGGCACAGTGGCATGCATATTGCATTTTTGTTTAATATTGATAGTTTTTGTATTCCAATGTGATAGTTGAGGTATAAAGAGGTGTGTAACAGTTTTTCTCATTTGCTTTGGTACATTTCTTGGATCAGAATTGAATGTCTCAAAACTACTTGTCCAATTTTCACATAATTTTGTCACTTGTGCATCTTATTGGGGAACCGTGATGTTTTGCACTTTATACAAACTATTTTGAGAAATGCACTGACTGTTTTGCAAATGTCTATTCTGACATAAGAAATGTACCAAAGCCACTAAGAAAAGCTGTAGGTGGGGGAAGTCCCCATGGAAGGACAAGGTGCCAAATGCATGGCCGGCCACTGGCTGCATATACGCCACCTCCCAATCTGTTTTTCAATTATACAGGTCATTTTTCGTATAGTTACGAATGATAGTGTTTCAATTTTTTTTGGTCTCATATTTTAATGCATGTAAGTATAAATAATAGGGGTGTGTTGAGACATAAAATATCTATATAAACTGTTTTTGCCATCAATAATATCAGTGGTAGGCTATTCATGTAATCTGAGGGCCTGATTTAAGGCCATTTGAAATCATTGCTTAGTTGCATGAGGTAAGCTGTTTTCAGTGGTAGGCTATGAGTGTAGTAAAAGGATTCATTTGCTCACCATTTTTTTGCTCCTCGGTCAAGTTCTCGACCTAGAGACAAAAGCAGGACAACAGTAGGATCAACTGTACAGCTCCTCTGTTCACGACTCAGCGGTATAAGTGATATATCATGTAGCTGTCTTCACCGGCTATTCTTGTTGTTGGAAAGCCTGTACAAGATCGATTGTCATGCAGTTATGTACATGCGTGTTTGTCTGTGGGGTTGGAGCACCATCAGCTGTTCTTTTTATGTCCAGCTGTTTTGTTTTTTTTTTTTGTTTTTCTATTGTTATACTGGGGGGTTGACCTCAGTTGACTTTAAAATGACTATAATATGAAGGAACTTCGTGATGTTATGATGTGGTGTCACCCAAAGGAAAAAAAAGTATGGGAACCACAAACAGGAACTCATTTCATGATGTTCTAGTTTTAGTTTTGTCAAGACCACAAGCACTATGGAGTGTTACAAAAGTAGGATTTTGTATCTAGAAGCTATCCGTTATCCAAAGTGCTTATCCTCATGAGGGTCATGGGCATGGTGGAGCCTATCCCAGCCATCTTTGGGCAGTAGGCCTGAACTGGTTGCCAGCCAATCGCAGGGCACACATAGAGTGAATCATCTAAATGTTAATCCTCATTTCCAACTGCAGAATTGCATTCAAAATTAATTGAGAATCACATGCACCTTAACACTGAAGTCTCTCTTGTTGTGCATTCTCATAATCCTGTAATGATCCACTGACTTGACATTGAAAGGGTATAACGGTCACAATGGCTCCAAAGCTGAATGCTCTCATAGCAATTTTCCTGATAGAGTATGCTCTGAGTTTAATATATGAAGAATTTAGATTCAGGTCTTCATTTTGACCTGAAATATCAGACAGAAAGCATACACTCAGCCTTGTACTTACCGCTGCTTTATAGACGTCATCCATTGCTGCTGGTCCTTCACTGGCTGTGACAAAATGTGGGACTGATTCAGCCTTCCGACTGCTAGGGAACTATGGCATTAAAAAAAGCTTATGACCCATCCCACAAAATTGAAGAGTGGTGGGGCGGGGGGCTGATTGACAGAAACAGAGAGTAAAGGAGTGCTATAAATAGAGCACAAAAGAAGCCACCTAGCAAAAGCAGAACATGGAGGTGCTGGGTGGATTTAAGTGACGTTTAGCTGGGTGATTGTCTTGTTTACATGCTATGCCTGCAATGTTACAGAGAGAAAATAAATAATATTGTATCTGGGTATCCTTCAAACAAGGGTAAGCTCAGATTCCAACTTCATGACTGTTGGACTATTTTAAAAAAAAGTAATTGCAATAGAAATTTGAAGCCACCGTTCATAAACTAGACAACAAGAGTGAACTACTCTAAAACAGCTTAGTGTGTGCAGTAAGTAAAAAGCAACATTAGTTTTTATGCAGACACAGAGGAAGTATTGATTATTATTTTTTTACATTATTTTATGTTAAATTATTACCAACATTTACCAGCAAAATCTTAATGCAAAGCAAATAAATCAAAACATTTGAAACAATTGTATGCTTATTGCAACTTTGCATCAACAGCTTGTGGAAGGCACGGCTGTGTTCCAGCGGGACGTCAAAACCTGCTGGGGTAAATCTGGTGTGGATGAACTTCCACAGAACGCTGACCTTTACTGCATTAAATATCTTTGGGATGAACTGGAACGGCAGGCCCTCGATCGGGTCCAATACAGGCAATCTCAGTAGAAGCTAGAAGCAAATGAGGGAATCGCTATACACATGTGGATAGAAGTGTTAATCTTCCGTTAAAGAAAGAAAACTCCACGATAGTCAATTTGAAAGTTACACAAGTAATAATAGGTAGTACATGAACTGATAAAAATCAGACACTACATGTATTTTGTGTGCGTACTAACTAGTAATTCCATTAATTCCCTCTTGGATGCAGCAGGGAGAGACATTACACAACACTTGAATAGGATTCATGTATTTTCCCGTCAAAATTTATTGTTTTTATTTTATTTTTAATTAAAAAGCATATATGATAAGAATAATGATGATGAAGAACAATGGGCTGCTGATGCTTTAGTGGTACACTCGTCTGACCTGCGGGCAGCGTGAAATCGGTTCCCATTCAGTGACGGTGTGGACGTGGGTGTGAATGATTGCTTGTCTCTATATGTGCCCTGTGACTGACTGGCGACCAGTTCAGGGTGTAGTCAGCCTTCCGCCCAAAGTCTGCTGAGATAGGCTCCAGCAACTCCCCGCTACCCCGTTCAGGATATACAGTGTTGAAAATGGATGGATGGATGAAGAACAAAAATAAATGCTGCAAATCTGGACCCAAGTTAAATAAAATTCATCTTGAAACGAACTATAGTAACACTAGTAATATAACTTTCTTAGTTACATTGTCCTATATTACTTTGTTCAGATGCCTTCATGAAAATAGATCCACAGATAGAGAGCTATTTTAAGTGTGCCATGTCCTTGACTGGAAATAGTAGTCCTCTGACAGTGGGGATGTAATGGTGGGGGTGATCGGGGTCTCTTGTCTACAAAGGACAAACAGAAATGAAATTTGCAGCAAATGCAGAACAAATTTGGAGGTCCCATGTCAATTAGCTACATTTAGCGCTGGTTTCAATGAAAGGAAAGTAATGATTTTTCTTCTGGCTCATGCCTGACTGACAACATGTCCCACCTATGTGGTTCCTGTTATGTATATTGCCCTAGCAACAATATAGTTCATCCATATTCCACTGAGCGGCAAACAACAACATAGTTTATTTTTATTCCACTAAACTGGCAAGAAAAAACAGGCCCTACATTTTCCCTCTATATCATAGTTTTATTATCTATGAGGCACTGAATTATGTGTAAGAAGTAGCTGGGTAAAGTACATTTTGATTTTCAGAATCATTTATCTGCAATGGGCAGTTTAGCTTGACAAAAGACTTTCTTTCCATTTCTAGCGTGACTGCAGCCACACTGTTAGTCACAATGTAATCGTGTTATGATTATTATATGTGGATACTGAAACTGAGAGAATTCACAGTAATACTCACAGAGTGAGATGTGAGTTTGCTTCAAACTCATTATGTGTCTTGACTTTTATTTACAAATGTAATGCTGTATTTCAGTACATTATTTAATAAATGTAAATTTTACATTCGGTTAATATTCACATCTATAATATTAGTGCCAGTTAGAGAAAACAATTTGTGTTATTGTGCTGACTTTCAATAAAGTTGAATTTTTCAAAAGAGAGGAAGAAGAAAAATGCGGCTTGGGAGGAAATGAACAGCACTGTAAACAGGAAGTACTTTCATTTTATCCTAAAGTTCAGGTGGTATGTGTTTAAGGGCCGAAAAACAGCCAAAGAAGTCTTATTACAGGCCGATAGGCGCTGTCCTACCACAAAGTAAGAGTTTTAAAACGTATATAATCAAACATCATTCTGTAGATAATCAGAACGATTTTTTGTCCACGAAGAAGTCTCACCAGATGACGCGTCTAGCTAGTTTAGCATTAGCTGTCGCCATGTATTTACGGCGTGATAACTCCTCTCGGCTGACACACGAGCGTTATGTTTACTCACGCTGTCAAACACAACGAATTGCGGCCATCATTTTGACTTGAAATGACTATTGGTCAGTCATTGTTGTTTGTTTGTTAATTTGTTTGTTTGTTTTGACGCCGGCGTTGACGGTGCGGCTCTTGTTAGCTTGCGTCTGCAGCAATAAGACTCCAGGTCACGAGGATGAGCAATCTGCACATTTTTGTTGTGTGTTAAATTGAAATGGTGTAATTTAGCCGGGTCGGCGTCCAGCTAACTCCGAGCTCATTCAAATTAACGTTTCGCCAACTAGATTGCACGCACGTTTCTGTTCAGTGTCACGCCATGGTTTAGGACCATAATGGCAGTTTGGGATATGAACAATGTAGCGCGATCAGTTTAAGTTTGAGATGCAAGTCGCATTTCGTAGGTCCGTTGTGTTGTAAACATTCGAGTCATTTCAAAGGTTATTGGCATGCTTTGCGTTGTCGTCATATGTAAGTCCAGATGATCCACAGTCACTTTGACCTGTTATACTACCTTGCCTGATTTCCGCATAATTGTGTTGTGTTGAAGAACAAATGTCATTATACATTGAACCAGGAACGCAAAAACAATAGTGCGTTTGACAGTTTGATCAGCAATGGGTGAACAGTTCATCATCGTCTTTCAGTTTGTCCTTTATGATGGCCTATGTCTGAAACAATTTCACCTATAGTTTGAACCCAAGATATGGACTCGGGTGACCAGTTAGCACCCATGACTACCAACAAAAACATGTGTTATGTATATCGTATTTGTCCTTTGGTGTAAATGCCAGCGTATATAGGTGTGCGTGTGTATGGCGGGGGTCACCAACGTGGTGGCCACCAGCACCAGGTAGTCCCCTAAAATAACTCATCGTTGATGGTACATTGTGATTTCCAAACAATGTTGTCGAAGCTACCATTTGAAAAAATTAAATGTGTTTTAATAAATATTCACTCTGAATATTTACCGGTAATCAGCACTGATATGTCTTCTAACTTTGATCGACAAGATTTCATTTAACACTGATGAAAAAATGTGAACATAGACCTTTCTTTCTGATGCAGATGATGACACATACGTACAGCACATTTGACAATAAAGTTGTATTCAATTCAATTCAATACACCTATGTGTCAAACTGCTGCAGTATAGCGCCAACTACTGCTGAGGAGGTCTTATTCAATGTCAGATTTGTGTTGCCTTAAGTATCAGTGGGTGGTATCGGCGATCTCCCATGAAAACCCGATACCATAAAATATCGTCCCGATACCGGGTTTCGGTATTTGCCCATCCCTAGAAATTCTAGTTGTTTACACAACTTTTCCAAACTGTACTGCGTTCTGACTAAATAAACCCCTCCAAAGTACTTTCTAGTAAGTGAAATGACAGAATATGGAGTAGTTCCAGCAAATGTAAGCAAGTGCACCATGATTCTGTTCATGAGCTGTTAGGTATTTGAAATGCCCACGTGACTTGTTCTACAATGAATGAATGTGTTGCTCCTTTTCTAGCTCATTAGCCAGAGAGGAAGACAGCAAGACTTGCAGTTGCTGATCTTGCACTTTTGGTCCCTGAGATGACATCACAGCAGCCTCAACTCCACGGTGGGGCTATTCATCACCAGGTCGCCAACAATGACTCAGCTCAACAAGCCCAGCCTCATCTCCAGGCCCATCATCTTGACTCAAATCCGAGCGGCGCCACCGCCGGCCGTCTGGACAACAGAGCTCTCTCGCGGCGGCCCGGATGCTCCACTTTGGCAACCACTGGCGGTGTCTCGGCCTGTTTGGTCAACTCCAGCGTATCCAAAGGATTGAGGAGTTTTGAGCCTTGGCCCGAGGAAGCGGTGGACAAGTCACATGGGTTGAACTCGCTCCACCGCATGTTTGATATAATCGGAGCCCAGCTCACTCATCGGGACGTTAGAGTACTGTCGTTTTTGTTCGTTGATGTGATTGACGAGTACGAACGTGGCGGCATCAGGAGCGGACGAGATTTCTTGCTGGCACTGGAGCGCCAGGGTCGCTGTGATGAGACCAACTTTCAACACGTGCTCCAGCTTCTGAGAATTATCACTCGTCATGACCTCTTGCCTTACGTCACACTTAAGAAACGACAGGCTGGTAAGTAGTCTTCTTGTCATTCCTAAATCATAATTTGCATATTATAATTTACTGAACATGGGTTTAATTTGGACCAACTACAGTACTTAAAAAAATGGCTTGAGGGAAGAAAGGTTCATGTTCACATACAGACGTGGCCGTAGTGACACACAGAAGCAGTTTACTGAATTGGAAAATACTAGTAAGTGCCATACTAGAAGATCAGAAAGCTCACATGGGGGAAATTATGCAAGGAAGTAAGGGATTAATTACATAGACATGTTTGTGTTATCATGGAATGTTCATGTTTAAGATTTTTTTTGGAACACATTTCTGTATTTGCCAAAGATTGCGCTTTAGTTACATGTTCTTCTGTATTCTCTGTTTGGTGCACTAGTGGTTGGTGGGAGTCACTTGAAACATTAAAGGCTGTCTTTTTTTTTGTACATTTATTGAACATGTTGAAGTTAAAAAAAAAGAATTCACAAAAGGAACAGTGGTTTCTGTCATTAATAAAAGCACAATGAAATCCATAACAGAAAAACAATCAATAGTGATCATCTACAAAAAGGGATGCGACGTCATACAAACAGAAGCAGACTTGTGGAAATGAATTAAGAGGAATTGCATGCTGAGTAAATATTTTAATTGAGTATTAACAATTGATTTATTTCGATGTTTTTTTTTTTTAAATAAGAAATTGAAGCACTTTCAGTGTCATTCATTGAAAAACAGGACTATAGTCATTATTATGTTAGCAAATATGAGGTAGAATCTAGGCTGGGGTAGCATCGTGAGTCACTTGGGTTGCCAAATTTGGCGTTTGTCCCCCTATTAATGGTCATGTGGCGATAGTGATTGATAGCTGGGGTTATTGCGTTCATCTTCCATGTACAGATTCCACTCGTATAAAATATGTGTGGTCCTCAGTGTGCCCAGATCCTGTTGACAAGTACTTGGAAGAGACGTCCGTGCGCTACATTTCGCCGAGAGGAGCCATGAAAAGCAGGGAAAATGCGCCTCGCAGAATGACAGGTGGGTGGCGCATGCAAGTTCCGTTTTGATCACCGCAAGACAAAGTGGGAGAGAACGGTTTGGTGAAAACGTCTGCCTCACAACCCTAAGTCCCATGTCATGTGCTGACAGGACCCTATGTTGGGCCATCTCGGATGAAAGCGGCTCCTTCTGTACCGAATGGCGTGTGGAAGAGAAGCCATTCCTTATCCGACTTCAGAGAGAAGCAAACTTGTGGTATGAATGAAGTGTCCAAACTGTCAACCTCAGGAAACCTTTCTATTCATTTTACACGGTTTTAAGTTTGATGTCCAACTTTTTTTTTTTTTAACAAAACACTCATTAACAACAAAAGTTACTTAAGTCATTCACTCCCAAAGACGTTTTTAAACGTCTTTTCAGACTTGGTTTAGAATTGGCTGGTACTGAATGAGTTAAAAGCACTTGATATGAAGAAGGTTTAGGAAGCCGCTACCTATACTTTAAATGGATGAATGAGACATTCCAAAACTCATCCAGAGGATGATGCATCTCTGATCTCCAACCACAGGAAACCTTTGGTTGGGGTCATTGCTGCCAAAGGAGGGTCAACTAGTTATTAAATGCAAAGGCTTACTTACCGGTACTTTTTTTTCCCCCTCTCCCTGTCCTGTGAATGTTGACATGTTCTTTTCATTACATATATGAAAACATATCATTGTGTGGTATTAGTTTAAATAGACAGCTTGTTTGTTCTTGTGATTTTGATGAAGATGCGCCCACATTTTCTGAGCATTTTCTTATCCAGAAATCTCAAGAATTCCAAAGGATTCCCATACTTGTCCCACTCACTGTATGACATCATCATATTTGTTTGCGTTGGATTATAAAGACTGAGGGTGATTGAATCATCCGTTCAAAGCTGTCAGTACAAGAATGTTGTTCCAATGATAAAGTCTACCATATGAAAAATGCAGGCCAAAAACGCTGAAGCAAAAAAAGGCGGGGGGGAGAGATGACTGATCTAAAACTGAAGACAATGCCAGAAGCTGGTGACTTGTTGCATTTTGTGCAGTATCAATAAGAGCCATGTTAATGGCCAGCTTTCCACATTTGAACCTTCTTGATGTCTAACCGCATGGAAATCTTGACCGTCCTTGTTCTCGACTTCCCCAGATATACGCCTGCGCGTCCGTGCCGAATATTGCCAGCACGACTCGGCCCTTCAGGGCAACATCTTTTCCAACAAGCAAGAGGTTGTGGAGCGCCAATTTGAACGTTTCAACCAGGCCAACACCATCCTCAAATCACGAGACTTGGGCTCCATCATCTGTGACATCAAGTTCTCCGAGCTCACCTACCTGGATGCTTTCTGGAGAGACTACATCAACGGCTCGTTGTTAGAGGCCCTGAAAGGAGTTTTCATCACAGATTCTCTGAAGCAGGCAGTAGGCCACGAGGCGATCAAACTGTTGGTCAATGTTGATGAGGAGGATTACCAGGCGGGCCGTCGCAGACTTCTTTGTAATTTGGTGACGAGCGGAGATCCTCCCGGTGGCGTCAAAGACTGCGTGTCGTAGACGTCAGTTCAAGCATACAGAAGGAATACAACTGTGCCTCCCAATGGGGACTAGAAAGAGCTGGAAGGATGATGCACATGTGATACCCGTGTTTTGGAATGTGTGTATGTATCTGGAATTGCAGCAAATCCCGCTGATTCATTTCGCGCAATGGTCGGAGGATAGTTGGTACCCCCGACGTATAGCATGCAAGGGGATTGGGGACTGTGCCAGTCAAAAGTAGTTGGTCATGCATACAGATTTACATTCATTTGAATCGAAATCTGTTTGTTTTCTTCAAGGGAGAAAATGCTTTTTGTTTTATTTACACTGATTTTGATAACATGAAAAATCCTCAATGGTGTCAAGTTACTCCTGGTGAGGGATATACCGAGTTTTTTTTTTGTTTGTTTTTTTTCCCCATATAATTTATTATTTCACGCCTGATTGGTTGCATTAACCCATTTTTAATGTGTTCAGTATGCTCTGGAAAAGCACCGACTTAAGTAGCCACGCAGTTAGTGTTGTTTTTTTTTTAAGTTTTGTGTGTGTTTTCCTCCTCTATGTCTAAGACCATTTTGTACTAACAGGACTGATTATCACAAAAGAATTTCATATTTACTTTCTGCATTTGCTGCCACACCAGAAAAAAAAAGATGTTCATCATCATGTTATAATGTGATAAGTTCCACATTTTAAAAATGACAAGTGCCACGTAACATAAGTTATGTTATAACATGGCACATTTTGGCTTTCACATTCACCGTAACAAAGCAAAAGCAATTACTTTCCAATCCAGGTCACTGGCAGAATCCTTTTTCTGTTTTATAAATCAAAATGACTAGCAACATAATTACTACTTCTCTAAAAAATAATAATGTCAAGTGTTTAAAATTATTTAACTTTTACCAAATTCCATCTCTGACCTTAACCGGAAGTAAGTGCTTAATTTTGTTGTGCCGAATGCAGAAGCCAAACATCACGTTTTAACGTGATATGTTTTTATTTTATACATTATTGTCTTTTAGGTAACTTTCAGCTTAAGTTTCAAGGACGCTCCGTTAATGTGTCATGTTTTTACCACCAAATTGTTTTCAATATTATTTGTCATAAGAACAGTATATGGTGGAAGTGAACATGGTTACCATTAAAATAATCGGATTTTGAGAAAACAATGTGCAGTCAATGGATAAAGAATTCTAGTGCTATGCTTTATATATCAGGATGTTGTGAGGGGTTGAGAATCTGCTCCGTACCTGTTTTAAAAAAGACATAATATGGAGAAAAACAAAGTTTTAAGTGCTTGTATTCAAATGGCTTGGTATGTGGACTATCTCAGTCTCTCAAATGTGAATTTATCCAACCAAGTAATTGTTTTGTGAAGTGCCTTTGTCAGAAAATATTTCACTTGACAAAGTCCTCATTGTTAGGTCCAACTGTGACGCACATGCAGTAAAACATTGTAGATATTTTTATTTTTTTTACTTGAGTTCCACTTCAATTGATTAGTTTTCCCTTGCATAACGTATTTTTGTATGAGTAGTTTTGAAACCATTACTTTCACAATTTTAATGCCGCATATTACTTTGGGTTTTTTTTTTTCAAAGCAGAAGGGCACTATATAAATCTAATTTATTACATTGGTCAACAGCAAATTTTCATTAGAATGGCATTATGTGTGTGCCTATACATCTTTTTGACGCGGATTTAAAGAGACGTGAGAACTTATTTCCTGATTTCTCCCAAACAAATTTTGATAAAATTGAAAATCCAAGCTTGGTTGTCATTTTCCTGATCAGAAAATACATTCAGTGACAAACGGGCCATCCTGGCCACAAGCATTTTGTAATCATCCCAGGAAATCTACAGCAGAACAGAATTGATTTAACAATGTGGGGTCTGTGCTCGGTTCCCTTGTGCTTCTGCTATTTCTTCCTTAAAGAAGAAGCTGGTAAGATGACATCTCGTGTGCGTGTATGAAGAAGTGAGAACGGGAAACGATGAGGTAAGATTGTAGCAAAGTCCATTGATGAACTGTTCATGTACAACATTCCGTTTGATTACAGTTGATAGCTGTAATCAAGTTTGTTGGGGACCCTTTTCTGAAGGGCGCCTATGAGTGGTGAGAATCGATATGTGTTAATACATTAAAGTACTTTAATAAAACGCTACTCACAGACGCCCAGGTTACTGGAAATGTCCACGTTGGCGATACAGCTCTTGGTTTTTTCCCACATTACTTCCACATTAAACAATTAAAACACAGAACTTTAAAAACTATTTTCGTTTCATAATTCATAAAATGTTAAATTTCATTATATTTCACTTTTTGAACGAATAAAACACTTATGCTTTGTTTTTGCCACCAGATGTTGTTGCCACCAGATGGCAGTACGACACCATGTAATAATCCATCCATTGAAACAAAGTTTCACAATCCCACACGTACGGAATTTGGAATGCCAACATACAATTTCGTGCTACTTGCTCCATGGAGGTCCAATTCGTGGAACTTGAAGTTCCATTCTTTTCGTTAATTTCTATCCTTCCTGTCCCTGTCCTGTTACTCAGTTAAGCGACTGTCCTGTGCGTGTTTTTGGGGACTTGGTGCATGGAAGTCCAATTCCCCGAACTTGACCGTATCCACCATCCCCTCCTAACCTTTGCCCTCAGTCAAGCAGCTGTCTGGGGCATGTGTCCGTTGTACGAAACGTATGGAGGTGTTAGACTGTACAATTCCAAGAATCTTAAATCCCTTTTCTGGAAAATGAATTTTCCATCCCACTGGCCCGATACAACTGTTTCACTTCCGATACTGATATTGCTGCCTAGAGTACGATCCGGTATCAATCCAGTACGATATCAGCAGGAATAATAAAAAGTTTCAAGCATTCACATATTTAATCAAATTCTGTTTTATTAAATAATCGAAGGTGAGCATAGTTACAGAAGGCAATTGAAGTCTTGTTTGATCCACACAAATGTGTCCATGTCAACAGTGGAGAAAGAACTTGAGGATGAATTACAAAAAAAAGGACACACTTGAGACAATCCACTGTGGATTTGACCACAATAATATGAATAATTATAATGATAATCATAATACAAATTTGATCTGCCTTTTTCTTTATTTTGTGAGAATGAAATAATGTCCAAAATGGAAAATTTGGAATGTCTTACCGCCAACTACATTTGATGAATCTCACATACAAACACATTAAAAAATTATTTTGACCTGATTTGACATTTCTTAATAACAATATATTACAAAGATATACATTTTTTACAATAATATGACACAAATTATTCTACTAATATTTAGCGATCTAAAGATTGTCAAAACGAAAAGTAAAACAAAATAGATGAATATTTTTCAAAGTCCCCAAATGTTTTGAAACACATCATTGCAATTGCCTGGTCCTTTTGCACAAATTTGACCATTTCAAAAGTCTTCCAATTCTTTTCATCCACTCTTCACCCATTTAGAAATGCAGCTATGACTCCATGGAAAAACTTAAAACATGTTGGAAAATATACGGACTAGTAATAATTGACTGGAATGTTCCCCTTGGAAATGATTTAAGATGATACCTGCAATTGTCAACCAAAATAGCCTCACATCAAACCAAATAATTTGCATGTTTAGCTCACTTTTTTTTCCTCTTCACAAAATGGTACAACGGAAGGTGATCGCACTGCCGGTGTCATGCTGTCCTGATGAGGTCACATTAGGACTAGTACGCCTGACCAGTCTCGACCTGCAGCAGTCCCAAAACACCCGAGTGGTCGGACAGCTTTACCCTGCGCTGGCTGGACAGGCCCACGTTCTTGGCCAGGCAATTCATAGCAGCTGGAGAGGACAAGAGAAAAAAAATCTCTGTTTCTCAAAAATGATTTAGTAGAAAAATAACATTTCACACTCTTTATGTCACTGTAAAGGATTTATTCAGTAATATGTATATTTTTTAATATGGTATATGTTTTTCAGTTTCCTGAGTATCTCCAAAACATTTGCCCCAAACAATGAGTTAGCTGCTAATGCAGCTAGCCTGCACTCTTGAGCAAAAGCCTGTTACTGTCATTCGAATAATATTTAATTGAATTAGTAGTAAAAGAACATTTACCAGTCTTTATTTCATTGTAAATGATTTATTCAGCCATGTTTGTTAAATAGCCTCCAGTATATGTTTTGCAGGTGCCTGAGTACTACCGCCAAAAGGTTTGCGCCAAACAGGACAAAATATATACAGTATGACAAATAAAAGCTCTCATAAAAAAGTGTGCTATTGATGGCTGGCTGGACAAATCAAAGTATATCATGACTTATTGGTTCTTTTTCTTTAAAGCTTAAAAAGGATCAGATAAAAGTGCTGTTCTTCAAAAATGTAGGTGTCTAACATGTCCTCCAATTGTGAAATGACCCATATACCCGGTCCAATTGAAGTCACACATTTCCACAGCATTATCATTCGTTAATTCAACACAAAATATGAAGTTGATCCATGTAATTGCAGCATGAAGGTCATTTCTTTGTGTGCGAGAGACAAACAAGCATGTGTTAAACAGACCGGCATAAACATATTCGCTTGATTGTGTTGTAACGTGAGTGGGGTGGATTTTTGTGTGCAAACATTCAGCGGCACCTCCCCATTTTGTTTTGTTTACATGATTCAAAGTGAGCGATAAGAAGACAGCATGCCAGACAGACAGACAGACAGACAGACTGACAAAAGGCCCATAATAATAAGCAAAGCCGGCATTAATGCTCAGCACATTTCTCACATGTGGCTCCGCCCCTGTCGAGTTGCTGATGGCTCCTCTTTTTTGAAATGATGAGAGAGAGAGAGAAGGGTGTTGACAGCAACGTGACATGACGCGGTGTGTTTGTGTGCGGATAAGGAGCGCGTGTCCGTTAGGATGCTTCTGCGCGTGGAGTACACAAAAAAAGGAAAGTGTCACACAAGGAGGAAGAAGAGCATCTATGGGCGGGCAAGTCTGTCATCCAGGAGCACTTTGGGAACCTCTACGGTTTAGTGAGGCCTTCCATGTGAAGCCCCCCCCCCGTCAGACAGATTTACACCTTAAACCCCTGCTGAGCAGTCACACCGAGACTCCTCTGTGTCCAAGGTGGAGCCTATCGAGCGACACACAAACATGCGCGGGCGCACACACCGCAGCTATTTTGACAGTGGGGTATGTTCTTTAATCTGTCGGGTGCTTTTTTTGAATTAGAGCAAGAGTGAAATGCCAGAAGTAAAGTTAGTTTTGCAGGAAGAGGAAGTGGGGGTCGATGGAAGGCCTCAGCCAAAACGTTTGCATCCCTGAAAGGATCGTATCACTCAAAGTGGCATCACTTTAAAAGCACCTTGTTTGAATCTGCTGCAAATGTCGAGCAAAATCAAGTGACTAATGTGGGTGAACCGATAACATTCTGTGAGGATTCTGCTGCAAGTGATTGTTAACAGCTGCTCCAGTTCACTGCCATTTTTCAGCATCTGTAATTGCTATCGAGCCCTGTACTGTATATCCACTTCTATATTTTGCAAACAAATCAAAGGTGTGCAGTGGAAACCCTTGTTGTTGACTCGCACACAATGAAAGTACAAAGTATTGCTTTGCAGCCAACTTGAGGCATCTTGGTGCCAAGGAACTATGTTGAAGTGAGTCATTTAGACAAAGGTAGCATTGTTGTAGTGCTGGGCAATGAAATGAAATTTCACCGTGATTGCCATTTTGGCTTCTCACAACCTTAAAAACGTTAGAATTGAAGATAAGCAATTAATTTGCGGAAAGGAGTTAGCAAGTTCCCAATGCTGTGAATTTACCATTTTGCTTGTGCAGCAAGCGTGTGATGTTATGTGATTCTGCCCTCCCCGAGGATGCTGTTTTATTGACACCCCATTTAGAGGTTACTGTAAAATGTAAATGTATTTTGGATGCTGATTTCAAAAATGTCATGACCTTTTTTTTCCAGCCCATCAAGGTTTTGGGGATATTTTCGTTTTTGTTTGACTTTCTTGTAGCTTGCCCTACTGTGCATGTGACCAACAATCATCACATCCATGCTACAGGGATCAAGTATAATGCTCTTTGAGATCCTGTCAGCAAACACTCGCTTTAGCGTGAGCAGTAAGCGACAAGTATCACGCTAAGCCAGGACACCAGCAGGACTTACTCTGGCCATACTGAGTGTACTGGTAGCCCACGGCAGCCACAGTGGGGTCCACGCTGTAGTTGGTTGTGCTGTACGTTGGGGGACAGTAGGACTGGGAGGACGGAAGGCTGTCCACCGTCTTAATGGAGGCCTCCACCGAACGTTGGCTGCCGGGGGCTGACGCGGCGTTAGGTGGAGGGGCTTCCAACATGCTGTGGAGCGGCGACACAGAGAAGTCGTGTTGGGGTTGGGAGGAAACGCCATTCGGGTTACTCAGGATGCTCATCACCTGCAAATAGACACAAGCAGAGGCTCATGTGGTCGGCG